ATATTGGGATTTGCTATTGTGGTTTATACAGTATATATGATCAAAGTATGTATTTCTTGGGATGTTTTGTCAAATCAAATTAAAATAACAGAAAAAACGAGTTTTGCAAGCAAAAATCCCTAATGTGAAATAAACAAAATTAGTAGATAACTATTTAGAATAAGATATGATAGATCATGTAAATTTCATTAGCAAAAAATAAGAAATTAATTTGCAATCAGGAAAACAAATCATAATGTTAGAAAAAAAAGGCACATGAACATTTTTTCTTAATAGATAACTAGCTAGAAATTTCACAAGAGACTCGACCTTTTAAACTTTTTCAGAATTCAAACATCTCTTTTCTGATAAATGGTTGATTTTTCTGAATATCAAATAAAATATTCTAGAACAATGGTTGATTTTTCTGAATATCAAATAAAATATGAAAGTTTGAAGATCGGAAGAATGCTTTTTTTTCACCATCCACACATAAAAACATCAATTTGATTGGCAACATTAAATATTTCATAGGAAAAAAATAATGTTTTTCTTTTGCATCTATTCATTTGCGAAAGAACACGAAAAAAATGTATTTTTTTACAATATTTTTCTATTCACCAAAATCACAAATTGTCGCGAAATACATGCAATCGTGACGAGACCCACATCATTTCAAGGCAGAAAGTGTGAAAAAATACATGCTTTCGAAAATTTCATTTCTTGTTTTTTTTTCGCTCGTTGTTTCTCTTGAAATGAGTGTGGGTCTCGCCGCGATTGACATTTATTTCGTGCATTTTCATGAATAGAAAAAAATTGTAAAAAAATACATTTTTTCGGTTTTTTTCGCAAATGAATAGATGCATTTGTATTTTGACATGAGTTCAAAAAGTTTGAGCAAAAATGTATGTAGTTTGTTGCTGAATATCTCAAGTGTAGTATGTGGGTGTATGAATAATTTAAAGTTAGTCATCAAAATAGTGTGACTATTAAAATTATATGCTTCATGAAACAAAAGTTAATGACATGGATGAGCAACTTGAACAATAACTCTTATTGTCACGTTTTCTAAGTTGATAAAATTTTGAGAAAATATTCATGTGCAACAGAAATCGTTGAATTCATTGTGGCGATTCATATGGAAATTAAGTACAAAAGGTTTCAGTCACATGGTTTGAAATATTTATAGATTCGGTATTTATTGAGCCAAAATTAAATAAAAAGTCAAAGTTTTTTAAATCAGGAAATTTCAATGTTTTTTTTAGAACAAAATAGGTTATCCAGAATAAAAAATATTTTTATGGCACATCTCAAATGGTCAAGATCCCCAAAGAAAGATGGTATATGCGGCTGCAAAACTTTAATATTCGATAGTAAACCAACAAAATTTTTAACTTGACAAAATTTAACAAAATGAGACAGCTCAAACATAAATACCGTATGTTTTTGATCAGACTTTCTAATTAGAAAATATGTTCCAAACATAAAAAACTGTGTTGGTATGACATGATTGTTATTTTGATCAGACAGAACATTTTGAATATTTTGTTTGCTTGATTTATGAATTTCCTTTTTCACAATATTTTCCTAGATTGTAAAAAAAACTTCCCGAATCAGCAATCAATTTAGACTTTTCACAGATTCGATAAAAACTGTTTTCATGTTGAAAGTTATGCTCTTGTGAAAAGTATGAAACATTTCTTTGAATGCAAAGACAGACCTTCTACCTATTTATAATCAATTAAGTATGTTCGTATTTGATGACTCAATTAAAATTATCAGAGTGGTTCATTTTAACGTTCAGTCGCCTAAGGCGCTGCACCGCAACAGCAGGTCTAGAATTATACAGAAACTTCTCTCTCCCTATTGAGAAAAACCACAATGTGTTTTGGTTCCCTGGAATTTTGAAATTTTTTGTTTTCTCTGTAACCAAAATAGAATTTTGAAAACGTGTTTGTTTTTTCTAAAAAAAACTGATGAATGTCCTTTTTAGACGAACATCATTCCCAATGCACATACAATATATGTATACGAAAAAATGCTATAAAATGAGTCACGCAATTGAAACTCCGACTGATGATTTATTGGTTTTTTCTTTTCACGAATTATCAAAAATGATGAATAACAATGTTGTGAGAAATGAAATATAAATTATATTGTGACAGATGGGAAAAAGGGAACGTCAATCATTTTTATTTATAAAGATAAGATAATCTCATTAACACTTTTTTAAAGATGGAAAAACGAAACGAGTTCAAAAATATTGTGTTTATGAAATGCACTTCCGCCCACATTATTTGCAAAAAAAAACTTTAGTTGACCGATAACTATTTCCCAAATGTCTTCCAGATGTTCTCGATGAAAATTTTCTCAACCTTGAAAAACTCATTTTATAAACATTTCTATCAGTAAAGATGAACCCGTCCAACACATCTGCTTCTTGTTCTCAAAAAAGTACACCTGTTGATCTTTTGAAACTATTTTGTAACAATCAGGAGCATTTATTTTTCCCTGGTTGCAAAAAAAAACAAAAAAAGTTGATATCATGTGGTTTCGTTTTTGTTTGATTCAATTATTATAATTGGAGCCAATCAATTTGGAATGTGGGAGGAAAATTGATTTCATATGATGGTGTTCGGAGAGAAGTTCATGGAAAATGAAACAAGGGGGTGGGTGAAGGGAAAATTGAATAATGCCAAAAAGTAACCTGTCGACAAGTAAAACCCAGAGAATGTTCATTATAGAGATTTTTTGTTACCTGAAGTGAGAATTGTATAGATTCAAGTCGGATTCGCTTTCTGATTTCTGAATGATTTCTGAATGTTAGATGAAACAAATTAGACCTGGGCGCAAACTTCCTGAACTATTGAAGCTGAAAACTGTTATTTCAATCAATCAAGGAAACTCCTAGATGAAACATCTAATTCTAAATCTGTATATCTCAAAACTGACCTTTACTATTACGATTGTGGTTTTTTTCAGTATGTTCATCAAGAATTCCAATGTTTTGCTTGGGGAACATCAATAGTATAAGAAAACCCCCTTCAAAAAAATTTGAAAGACGTTTAAAATAGTTTTTTTTTGTTGAGAAATTAGGACACACAGAAGTTTTCGTGAAAGTTAGCTATTTCATGCTCAATCCAATTTGAAAAATGTAGATTTTGCAATTTTGCAACTCGTGTTGGGTACGGTATACCTCTGATTTTATTCCCTTTTTTCAATTTGTTTCCTACTATTTTTTATCCAAAAAAAAACCATTCATAAAACCATAAAAATTATTTTGATTTGTCACATTATCACCAGATACTGTAGATTTACAGCCTGGCTCTGATTCAAACATTAAAAATCACATTAAAATTATGCGAATTGATGTGAAAGCCATAAAAAATTGGCGCCACGAGGCCATAAACAATTGAGTATCAGCTAAAAATAAAACAACAAAAAGATACTGTATATTATATTATATTACGATTATGTATTCAGAGATTAAAATGGAAATTTCGACTTTCAGAAATATATAGAGAGAAACAATTCTTTATACTTTTTCAGGAAATTGGTTATTTTTTAATTTCCGGTCTCATCATAAAGAAGAAGAAACCAATGTGTAGCTTCAACATTTTCTGGAGTATGATCAAATTTGAAGTGCAGAATTTTATCCAGAATCAATTCGAAAAGACGTTCACAGATGAACATACCATAAAAATCACAGGCCTGCATGTCGATTTTTTAAAAACTTCTGGAGATGAATGTGAATGAAAACAGTATTGTGCAGACAAGCATGAATTTTGAAACCTAGAACTGCTCTTTCAAATCTGGAAAAAACTAGATCCCTGAAAAATATTCCAAAGAAGTTCAGTTGTTCAAATCCTACGATTTACGTCAGATGTGTATAGTTACAGTAATTTCACCGAAAAGTACAATTTATTTCTCATAATCGTACTCTTCTAGAAGACAAATTTTCCAAGAAAAGTAATACGTTGACAACTACGGTAATCCTCGTGTTCGTCTTTTGGAAAATAAACAACCATTGTTCTATCTCAAAAACTTGTGTTATTTCGAAACCCAAAAACAAATATTAGTAAGACCAAACCAAAAACCTTGATCTTTTGATGTTGACACGGGTTGTTTAGAGTATAAGCAAGCATTGCTACCGTTGAGTCGTCCACGGTGACCTGGAGCAGGAAAAATATGTCGAAAATGCGATCACAGTCCGAAAAAAGGGGTTTCTTGGGAACCTTTTTTAACCTTTTATTTTGAGATTACAGATGATTTTTGCAGTCACTGAAAGCCACAAAATAACGGCCGGCATCTCTTATAACACGGAAGGATAGCCTTGTTAGGAAGCCATAACTCAAAATAAAACAGAAAAACAACATCCATAAAATTGAATAGCCTCTTCATCACTCAAACAATAGGCTTCTAATTATCTTCCTAGCCCACTTCAAGAAAAGATCATTGTTTCCGTTATTCGACCAATTTTCTTCTTCTTATTCTCAAATAACCGGAAACCAAAACCTTTTCTTATTTTCTCAACTGACCAGCCGCTTTCCGACCAGAAACAATGTGCCAGGTTCGTTTTGTCACAAAAAGAGCATTTGTCCTATCATCTTTGTAATTCATTCATTTAACACAATTGTTTGGAAAAATATTTTTATTTTTTCGAAAACGGAAACGGGAACACCGTATTGTAACGGAAAAATGGGATGAAACAAAGACAAAATTATTACAAAATGAAGCGATTTCAGAAAACGGTTCACTATGCTTTTTCGTTTGTTGTTTGGTTGGGGAAAGAGAGAAATCAAGAGAGAGACAAAAAAGTTTGGAAAAAAATAAAAGAAAGAAACTAGTGACAAATTAAGGTTTTGATACAAAATCAAAGTATAATGGATATAAATAAATAATTAAAGATGCCAAGTCATCTTTAGTAGAAGATCATTGGATGGGGGGATGGATGGTTTAGATATATATAAAAAATAGCGAGAGAGTGGTTTAGGAGCACCGGCATATTTTATGTATGGTTTTTAGTTGGCTCCTTCTGGCTCGTTGGCGTCAACATCATCGGTGGCGGCGTCAGATGTCCAGAGGGTCAAGTTATCACGAAGCAATTGCATGATGAGAGTTGAGTCCTTGTATGAGTCCTCGTTCAATGTATCGAGTTCAGCGATAGCATCATCGAAAGCCTGAAATTAATATTTATTTATTTATTTTAATTTTTTAAAATTATTATTGATTGATTTGAAAATTGTGCCTGTTTTGAAAGTTGACAAGCTCTGTCAGGGCTCGCAGCGACTTCATAGAAAAACACTGAATAATTCAGCGCAAGTCCAAGTCGAACACAATTTGTTGGCAAAAGCTCTTTATTAGCAATTTCGAGTGCTTCAGCATATGATGTTTGTCCCATATTTGCAGCAGCTAGAAAAAAGAAAAATGAAAAAAAAAACACACCTGTTTGGCGAGTTGGCAAGCCTTGTCTGGAGCGTTCAAGATCTCGTAGAAGAAGACAGAGAAGTTAAGGGCAAGTCCCAAACGGATTGGGTGAGTTGGTTGCATCTTATCCTTGGCAATGTCGAAAGCCTCTTGGTAGCTTTGTTGCGATTTCTCGACAACCGCTGTAACAAGATAAGATATTTATTGATTTAAAATTCGAGAAAATATTTGAATAACTTGAAACTATGTATCCTCTCACTCTCTGTCTTCATTCATTTATTTTTATTTTCGAGATTCTTCACACTCCACACACAGGCTTGCATAGTTTCAAGTTAGTCAAAGGTGGGTTATAAAAACAAGTTCAATTAAAAAATAAACTTACAGTTTCTGTCGTCTCCTGAGGCAACCTCGGCCAAATAACGGTAGTAATCTCCCTTCATCTTAAGGTAGAAGACCTTTGATTCAGCAGTTCCGGCCTTTGGGATGAGGAATTTGTCCAACAAGTTCTAAAAAAAAATAATTAATTTTTTTTGTTATCGATTTTTGAAAAATCAATAAACTTACCAAAACATCTTGGCAGATGTCGCGAAGCTCCTTTTCGACCTTCTCGCGGTATTCCTTGGCCATTTGTTGTTTCTTCTCAGATCCTTCGGTTTTTTGTTCGATGGATGAGATGACTCTCCATGATGAACGACGAGCTCCAACAACGTTCTTGTAAGCAACTGAGAGGAGATTTCTCTCTTCGTTGGAAAGTTCGGCTCCAAGTTCGGTGACCTTCTTCATTGAAGCGGCCATGTCATCATAACGTTCAGCCTATAAAGTAATATCAAGTTATGATAAGTTGCTAATTATTATAAGTAATTATCTTACCTGTTCGGCGAGTTTGGCGCGGTTAACGAGCTCTTCCTTTCCGTCAGACATTGTTGATTTTGGTTAAGATTTGGCGAAGTTACTGAAAAGTGACAACTTGTTAAAATGAAAACAAAACTATTTTGAAATGTTGAAAGTGTATATATACAACATTCAAGAAAAGAAAACGAGAAGGACGTGGTCGAAAGAGTAATGCCGAACAGAACAGAGTGAGCGCCGACCCTCTCTCCCCTCCCCTTTTTTTCTTCCAAATTTCCCGCAGTACAACAAGAGCGCACACACTTCTTTAGCACATTAGAATTGGTGTCCTAGATAACTTTTCAATAAAGTATTTTATATCGTTATTATCAGGAGAATATGAGGAGCATATTGTCAAAATTTTAGAAAAAAATGATGAAAAATGGCGAAAAAGCGAAAATTTTATAGTGGCCAAACTCAAAATAGCGGAGGAATTGGGGGGAGACACACATGTCATATACACACCCCTCTTTAGCTAGACAAGGGGCGATGAGAAATTCGGTAAACAAGAGCGCACACACTATTTTGATTGGCGTGTTTCACGTCAAATTTATTGATTTTCTACCTGCTTTTTTGTGATTCGTTATAATGCTTGCGGATTTTATCTATATCTCGAATTTCAAGATTGCTGGATAACGGGAAGTTGGAGAACTCGAAAATGTTTACAGTTGAAAATTTGAAAATCGCGGTTGAATTCGAGGGAGAATTTTCTTTCCACCCACTAGCCGTCGGTCGTCATTTGAGATTGGCTGTTATTCAAATACGAAGAGCGCTCACACGGGTATATAGTTAGTTTTCTCGGTTATCAATTAATTGTCTGATAACAATTAATCATTTTCTTATCCGAACAACAACTAGATATGCATTTCTATACTTCCTGATATATTTTAATGAGCGATAATATGACTTTTCGGCTTTTGTGCAATTAAGCTTATTGCGGAGGAATTGTGGGGAAAAGAGCGGTGTTGCTGGGGCTTGCAGAGTCGCGCTAAATCAATGACCACAGCCAGCGGCTCTGAGCTGATGAGCGAACGTAGAATGAGAAAACATGCTTCGGGCTGTGGCTGCTCTTCATAAAACAACAATAATATATATTTTTATACATCTTAAGATAGATTGATCTTCTTCTTTTTGTACTACTGATAAAATGTTTGCTACGACGAAGAGAAAAAACATCAGAGTAAAAGTTTGTGATAATCATTGAACATCATTTGAATTTCGATCGTCTTTTTTGTCTTGGAAAGACCTTCAAACACGCAATTTGGCCCACCGATGTTATCTTTTTTGTGGTTCGGTCAATCTCAATTCTTTCTATTTTTCCTTTCTTTTCCTTCCAAAATAAGACAATAACAAACAACAAATGATTTGATACAATAACAACAACCAAAAAGTATATATCAATGGTCTTGTCTCTACCTAAAATAAACACAATATTAAGTTCATTTGGACAGTTGCCAGATGCTTGCGGCAGACATACAGAACGTATAGCAGTGACGCAGTGAAGCAATAACAGATATGTCTGTGTGTGTGTGTGTGTGTGTTCCTTTGTTGTATTGGTCACTATGAGAAACTTTTTTTGATGGGGAATAGTTGTATTTTTTTGTTTGTTTCGAAAAAAAAAAGTCCCAGCCAAAATTGGAGATTGAAAGAAGAGTTGAGTCGGTGAAAAAAAGTGCAGACAAACTAAAAACACGAAAACAACAAGGATATTTATCAAACGCCAAATTCGCTGATTCCAAAATATATATTGGGAGTTAACAATTTTATGAAAAGTCTCTAGAGAATTGATTTGGAAATGTTGCCATTTTTGTTGTGTGAGAAAAGGATTATATTTGTGAATAGATAAGAACGTTGATTTATGGGTTTTTTGATTTTTTATGGTGTGGGGCAGATTGTAATCTCTTAAGTGTGATTGAGCTGATGAGATGAGCCATTTGGAAAAATTAAAAATTGCCTTATATTTTGGATCATTTTCAATATATTTTCAATCTTCATTTGTAAGCTGACTTAGCAAACTTATGATCTTTCATGGCAAATTTAAATCTTAAAAAACGATCCCGGATGATCCTAGATTTCTCAATTTTTCGAAATGTGAGAAAACTTTTCAGACAAGCCAAGAGTTGTCTCGTGTTTCACGAAATTTCAAAGAACTGAAGGATGAAAAAAATGTTAGGAAATTTTATGGTTCATTTCAACAACTAAAATTTGATTATTACAAATTGCTCATAAATTTTTTCAGGGCACCAAAGATAAGCAAAACTGCCAGGCAAATAAAGGTTTTTGTGCCCTTTCCAAATTTCGTAATATCTGCCGACTGACTCATCTTTGAAGGCAAGCTGAATCAACTTATGAGAATCCTGTAGTGCGTTTCTTGAAGATTCTGAATTCCCGAAATGCTAGGTGATGTCACAATTTTTCAGAAAATGTGAACAAAAGTTGCAGACAAATCAAGATATATCAAATTCCTGAAAAAAAACTTTCTACCTCGTTTTTCTTTGCTGCAACTTGAACTTTCATGAGTCCAAGATAACAAAAAAGTGTTCCAACTTCCCACGCTTTATGAAAAAAACCTCATCATCATCGTATCAATATTTTATACCTATTTTTCCCACTCTTTTTTCTTCTCCACAAAAAAATCCAATTTTCTCAATATTTTTGCATCTATTTTTAGGTTTCCATCTGACCGTAAACACATTCTCATTCTGCATACATATTGAGGAACATATTTGATGAAAAAAAGGAATTGCGAAATATTTCATTGAGAAAAATGGCCTTGTTTGGTGGCGAGGATGACATTTGAATCACATGGAGAAAAAATCTGTCGTTTTTTTGTTGGTGGAAATTGGTTGGATTTAAATTAGGTTTCTTTTCATTCCATTTTTTGTCTTCTTTTCTGATTTTGAATAATGTGTACATGTGTCAAATCTAAATGTAAATGAGAAAAAATACAAGAAACCAATTGTGTTTACAGAATTAGTCATCTGGCTCACATGTCACTCAATCACAAAAATCACATTTTTTTTGTTTCATTTCGCCCACATACAAATTGGGAAATTGAAATGAAGTGTGATTCACACCGAAAAATTAACATTTTTGTTTTTTTTTCGGGGTTTATTTTTGGAGTTTCAATCAAGCAAAATGTTTCATTTTGATAAGAAACAAAGAAGGAATAGGGAAACTACACTGTTTGCTAGCAAATTGTTGAAACACGATATTCGAGCAATTTCCATTAGTGATCTTTGGTTTGACAAATGTATATATCTTGATCAGCAATTCAAAGAAGTTGAAAATAAGTTTTTATTTATATGAATACGAAAAATGAAAAAAAAGTTGCTATACGACTTGAAGAGATTAAAAATCACAATAATTTCATTACTTTTGTTTTTGTCTTTTTTTTCCTTTTCAGAGTTTTGGTCTTCTACATAAATCTCTTGTGTTTCACGTCAGGAAGTACTCGTGATAGTTCAGTCATCCACAAAAATATCAAGATTTGTTTGACAAGTGTAAATATATTTGTTTATGACTAATATTCTTTAGTCACTCGCATTCTCTGGAAAAAACATACTTTGTAGTTAATTAATTAATAATACAAACCAAACCACTCATGTTTATTAGATTTCCTTTCTAAAAGTTCATGTTTCTGGGGAATATGAGTAATGGATTTAGAAATGAAATGGCACTTTGGAAAATGAGAAAAAAAAATGAAAAATTGACAAAGAATATTTGAAATAGTATAAATTTTACGGGATCTTTTGTTAGAGCCTAAAAGAGATAGAAGTAAATTGTTAACTCTGAAAGAGCAAATATCGGCTCACAGTGTTTCTGGAATATTTCAAAATTTTTGATTAAAATCAAAAAGAAATCATTTAATTTTTGTGTAAAATTTTTTAGCATTGACGCGTCAAAAATTGTTCAGAAATTTGTTTAGATGAACCGTGCTCGGACAGTATGATCGGAGACATTGGCAAATCTTCAGAGCACCAAAAAGGACTTGCACGTGTAACTTTCCCAATCATCTAAATCTGTTTATTGAGTTGATTGTGTGGTGATCTAACAAAATAATTCTATTTTTTATTTTATTTCTTCCCATTTTTAATCCGTTTTCAAAGCTTGTTATCATCAAAGAATAGTGTTGCGTCAATAATAATCCAATATCACTAATAAATAATAACAATATTTGAATACATATGTATATGTATTATTCTTTTTCTCAATCTTGTGATATACCATGTGACATTTAGAAAATAGGCAAATTTTCACACACATTCGCTTGTTTAAAGGTCATATCGTTGTTGTTGTGTTTTCTTCAGAAATTCGAAATTGTAGGTAATTTTTTCCGAATGAAAAAAGTGATCACATGAAGTAGTATGTATGAAAAACAACTCCTCACATGACCAATTAAAATGACGAGTTCTATGTAACCACAAACCTATAATTTGGAGTTCAGAAAATTATTATGTTTTTGGCATTTCGGTTACCGTAGTACGACGATAAAAAATGATTATACGTTTGTGGCTAGCGGAAATCAAATCACGGCTCAAATTTGCAGACGAATGTTTGATCTTCAACCTTCAACTTCTATTAGTTTTTCCCAAGATTCTCATGGTTCTAGCAGACAATGATATAAGAATTTGATCAAAAATCATTGTCACACAATTTTGTTTTTCAGTTTTTCCTGATCATTGATTATAATACAGACAGCTTCCGGATTGAGGTACATTCATAAAAACACAAAAATTTTCAATAATAGACAAACAAATATTTTTCAATAAGATCTTATCTAGAACTTTGATCTTTCTGTTTTTTTTTTCGATTTTTTTTTCAAATTCTACAAATTTTTCAAATCTATGGAAGCCAAAATTTTTATATATGAGTCATCGGTTAAGATCTACACAATTACAATAATATCAGATAACACAATGATTCATCAACCAACAATGTTCAAGATATTTTTCCCACTACGATCTTCTCCATTTTCCAATAATATTTTTTGTTGTTTTTTAATAGGAATCTATATTGAAATCAATTTTTATTACACTATAACGTGTCTTCTGCACAAAAAATCATTTTTATGAGAACATATATGAATTTACATTTGATTGAGAAATGCAATAAGGGACCGTATTTTTTCTCATTGATAAAAACATGTGAGAAAATGTATAATTAATGACCGAAAAACAATTGATGCATCACAAATTGTATTATTTTTGTACTAATAAGAATACAAATAATTACTATACTGTACAGTAGTTATGTGAGAAAAATAAAGCGATGATTAATAAGGGATGGAAACTAAAATATGTACAAGAAACACAAAGAATGAACATGAAAAATTGTCGCATTTTAAGCTATTTGGGAAACTGGAAAAAATATACGGAAAGCCGATATAGCTTTCATCAAAATTTTTGATTGTGATTGTTAAAAAAACACCCATTTATAAAATTATTTATTTAAATTAGACTAACTTATAGAATACAAAATTTAAAAAATTTCTGATACTCCACTGTTTTCGGAAAAAAAAATTAATTTTCAGAAAAATTGGGAAGCTTGAAAAGAGTTTAAGTTAAAGGCGATATTTTTTCGACCAATTTCAAACAATTTTCATGGCTCATACAGATATTCACAAGAACTATGGATTTATGAATTCAAAATATTTTTTTGAGAGGGCAGAAAAATTCAAGTCTGATAAAAAAAAGGAAAAAAATGTCAACTGAAAAATAACAATTATTACGTGGATGAAATTATCAACTTCTTACATTCTTTATACAATCATATCATTGTTTCCCAAATCAAATCATCTCAAGTACAGCATTAGAACAAAATCAAATCCAACCCGGAATAAGTGTCACGTTCGTTTGTCTACCATTTTTTGTCTTCAAAAATCGCGTTTATCCTTCTCTCTTGGAAGAATGCACTTATCAAAAGACAAACCATTTCCACTAGCCAGCACTTTGTTGAACTACACAAAACATGTCAAAAAATCAGTCATCATCATCAGTGAGGAAAAAAAAGTGGAATGTACCTGGCTCGGAGCTCAACAAAACCTATCAAAGTCTTGTCCATTTTTGTTTGTTTTGTGAGAAATGAGCGGAAAAGCATTTGGAAATGAAACCCTTAATGGAGTTATGACATTGCCACTGAAAATATCGGGTCTATTGTTAATTTTCCACCGCAAGTTGAATAATAAACGAAATGAAAAAGTTTATTGTTGTTATTATTAGTTGCACATTATTTGTAAACAAATTGTAGATGAAAAAAACTGTACACGATTTCACGAGAACACATTTAAAAATTTGATCCGAATAATCTTTGTGATAGAAACATCTGAATACAACTAATATAAAATCAATTCAACGATCAGAAAAAAAAAATAAATCACAAAAACAATGATGTTTCCCTCTAACAAATTTTCACATACAGTTTTCAAATACAATCCTATTGTTAACATCAAAACATCTGACTTATAAATCTGAACTTCAAACAACCTTTATCATACCTCCCATGATGTTTTTCTGCTTTTTCCCAAGAAAAATCTCTTCACTTTGTTTAAATCGTGTAACTTCAAAAAAAACCAACATTCTTCCTCCTTTCGAAAAGTAAATTTTCCCGCGCGCTGTTGCGCGAGCCACCTCTCGACCTCAAAGCTCCGCCTTTATCTGACCACCCTGTTTACTTTAAGAAAAACGGTTTATTGCGAGGTCACTCAATCTCAGCATTCTGATTTTTGTCAAAAACGCGATGAGACTGCTTTTATTTTTAGCAGTCGTATTACAAACTGCTGTTTGTCAGGTGAGGTTTTGAAATTATTCCCAAAAGATGAGAATTTGTTTCAGTATTACATTCAACAGCAACAAATCCGACCAATCACTCAACAACAAGCTCAACAATTTTATCCAATTCGAACAAATTGTGTGAACCGATGCAATAATCAAAACAGAGTTCGATGGAATTCAAGACCAACCAGTAAGCCAATCACGGTTTGATTAGAACTGTAATATTACTTCAGACATTATCCGACCTGCTCCAAATGTTCAAGTGCAAATCCGAACCATCCCATCTGTGGGGCAACCAATCAGACAAGTGGTGAAAATTTTGCCAACACCTTCACCATCTACAACAACTCTTCCACCAATCACATATCCAAATACTTTGCCAGTCGCAACAAATCCACCAGTAACCACAACAACACAGAATGTGGTTACTTCGACTCAAGGATCATCAACAACCCCAGAAGCTTCCTCAGCTGTGGTAAGAATTCAATTTTTGAGATATAGAGATCATAAGAAAAAAACATTTCCAGCCAATCACCACTACTACTCTTGAAACCCCGGGACCAGAATCTACACCATCAATGTCACCATCATATACGGATCCAACAGCGGCGCCGGAAACTACAGTATCCCCAAGCACCAAGCATCTTCGACCTGAACGTAAACAAACAACCAGACCGAGTAAGTTCACGATTTTATCTGTTTATTTTGAAATAATTTATAGGATACTTCAACGCATGCGCCGTCGGTCAACCACTTCTCAATGAATTTTCAACACCAATTTCATGCAACTACTTGAACCAACCAAACGGTGGTTGCCCTGAAGATTATTTCTGTCATACTGGAGCATCTTTCTCAACAACAGCTTGTTGTCCATTAGTTTCTTCTGAAGATAAATGTAATCAACGTAGAGATACTGGAGAAGGTGATGAATTAGTCGCAAGATGGTATTTCGATAATCAAGCCAAGGAATGTAAACGATTCCTTTACAAGGGTATTCGAGGAAATGCAAACAATTTTGTTACCAAAGCACAATGTGTTGATGCCTGCGAAGTTGGACTTGTTACCGATATTATGGACCCCTGTAAATTCAACAGCGCTGCTAAATATAACAATGGAAGTAGAATTATCTGTGGACCAAATGATGATTCAATGTGTCCAAATGGTTATTACTGCCACATTGGAGAAAATCCAGAAGTCACTGCCTGCTGTGAAACTAGTGGTTGTAAGTTTTATTAAAAACAACACCCCGGTATTAGCTGCATAAGTTAATTTTATAAATTTTGAAAGCATTTCGCAATAGTCAAGGGTGTTGCTTTAACAGTTATTGAACTTGAAAAATTCAATTACATAGTTTATTGCAGTATCTGATCCTTGTCTTTTGTCAATCAACGTTGGAACTGGAAAAGCTTTATTGAAAAGATTCTACTATAACACTTTCTCAAAGAAATGTACAGAATTCATCTATAAAGGAACAAAGGGAAATGAGAACAATTTCCTTACTCATGAACAATGTCAAGCAACATGTCAAAGTATGTTTTGTTCAAAGACTAATTATCCCATTAATAATGATTTTTGTAGAATGGGATAACCCTTGCCCAACCACAGTCAACTACGCTGAACGCAAGGAATGTACTACCAATGGTACTGAATGTGCATCTGGTCAATGGTGTCATTTGGGAGCCACTAAAGAATCATCAGTTTGTTGTCCCGGAGCTGCTCAAGATCCATGTGAACTTCAACTTTCAACCGGAGAAGGATCATCAAATCTCACAAGATGGTACGCAGATCCAAACGACAAATCTTGCAGTCGCCAATGTAAATCTTTCACATATAATGGAAGCAAAGGAAATCAAAATAACTTTGTCACCAAACAACAATGCGAGCAAAAATGCAAACGTGTCTGCAAAAATCCCTGTGGCTCTGGAACTATGCTTATGACACCAACTGACGAGCAAAGAACTTGTAGTCCAAGCTCACCGTGTCCAAGTACACATTGGTGTCATGTTGGAATCACCGCCGAGACAACTGTTTGCTGTTCAGCAGGTTAGTTTTTGATTTTCGAGAATTGGAAATTCTTGATTTTTTCAGTTCAAAACACTTGCGAACTTCCAATGATCAAGGGAACTGGAAACTCACATTTGACAAGATGGCACTTCGACAAAAACTTGAATAAATGTCTCAAATTCATCTACAGCGGAGAAGGTGGAAACCAAAATATGTTCTTGACACAGGAAGATTGTCTCTCGGTCTGTCCAGTATTTGAAAACCCATGTGGAACTGGAAAACCACTTTTGGTTGGATCAAAGCCAAAACTTTGTTCACCAAATGAACGATGCCCATCAACACATTTCTGTCATATTGGATTAGAAGGAACTGAAAATTATTGCTGTCAAAAGAGTTAGTCGATTCCAGATTTTTGTGACTTTGAAAAAAAAAACATATTTTTTGCAGACGGTGATCCCTGCCAACAACCCTTGGCTACCGGTTCAGGAGGTTTCTCTATCAGCAGATTTTACTATGACAAGGATACCCGAAGATGTCGCGATTTCTCTTACGAAGGATCTAAAGGAAATGCCAACAACTTCTTGTCACTTGAAGATTGTGAACTCGTCTGTCCAGTTCTTCCAAATCCATGTCAACAAGGTGAACCATTGTTAAACCTCCAAAAGGATCCAGTGATTTGTGGTGGAGAAGATACCTGTCCAAATGGTTATTATTGTCACGTTGGTGGAAGTCCCGAATTGACCAATTGTTGTCCAGGAAGTTAGTTTTATCTTTGATCTTCTTATTTTCATTTAAATCTCCATACTTTTTCAGCAAGAAGACCATGTGACTTACCACTTGAATCTGGCCAAGGAACTGATAAACTTGAAAGATGGTTCTTTGATGGAGGTCTTCAAATGTGTCGTCCATTTGTTTACAAAGGAATGAAAGGAAATTCGAACAACTTCTTAACAAAACAATCATGCAGAACTGCTTGCAAAGAAATGAATCCATGCGGATCAGGTGATCCGTTGGTTGATTCAACAGGAGAACGAATCTTGTGTACTGGCGGACAAAGTGTAGACAGCTGTCCATCAAACAGTTATTGTCATGTTGGATCAAGCGCATTGACCACTCTCTGTTGCCCAAAATCAAGTAAGTATGGTGCAAAAAAACATGATTACTAGAACATATTTTTATATGAAAAGATCTTCATTATTTTCACGTGACAAGAATCCAAAACATTTCTATATTATGAAATTTTCACCTGTTTCATTAATAAAACCAAGACAATTTAACTCAAACAGTTTTTTGTTGAGTCAGTCATTTTTTGATTCCTAAACCTTTAATCCGTCGGTCATTTCTTCCTTCCACCTACTCAAAACCTCGACGAGTATGAAAACACAGCAAAAACATCGTGAGAACAAAAGTAAACTTTTTACGAAACCCGGAAAATGTGTCGGTCAATTGAAAAACAAATATTTAAGAAAATGTCAAGTGCCGCTTCGTTTCGTAAAAACAACACATTTTTTTAGAGACTGATGCTTGCGATCAATTAATTGAGGAAGGATCGGGATCGGAAGATTTGCCAAGATGGTTCTTCGACAGAAAACAAAACCGATGTGCACCATTTAATTATGGTGGAGTTGGTGGAAATGAAAATAATTTCATCAGTCAAGCCACCTGTAATAATGCCTGTCCAGGTAACTCAATAGTTTAAAACTTTGTTACAAAAAATACTTTTTTTCAGAATACCGAAATTATTGTCCACATGGTATCCCATTGATTGAAAATACTACTGTTACCGCATGTGGAATTGATAAAGGATGTCCAGAAGGATTCATTTGCCACATGTCTTCTGAATTCAATGTATCAATTTGTTGTCAAGACCCAATGGACTTTTGTTTATCAGCCCGTGAAACCGGACCCTGTGATAGTTATGAAAAACGATATGGTTATGACGCCAACACGGACACTTGTGTTGAATATAAATATGGAGGTTGTGAAGGAACTTTGAACAATTTCCATTCACTTCAAAGATGTACTGAAATTTGTTGTAAAGAATATAAAAGAAGACATCGCTCGTAATTTATAATTTTTTTTAAATTTCACTTTTTTGAACTTCAAGTTTTCATTTCTCCAACCCTTGTCAAAATGCCGGTAATTTTGCTGACCGAAAATGTTTATTACTTTTCTTTTTTTTCTTTTTTTCAATATTTTTTATCTAGAGTTCTTTCGGATCTCTCGTCTATTCTTGGATGTTGTCATTTTTTATCATAAAATAAAAATAAATTTTTTCTCACCTGAAAGAAATTAGAAAAAAGGGTAGTCTTTTGGTGCACTTTATAGGACAACAATAAAACAACTGATCTTGTCCGAGAGAAAAAAAAAGAAAGACAAACCCTGAGGAAAAGGAAAAAGATGACACATTCTATTGATTTTTTGGATTGATCTTATTTCATCTTTTTTGTTTTGTTTTGTCTGGTTATAATTGATTGATGAGTAATTTTCGAGATTAGAAAGTTTTTGTTTTTCGTTCTTTTTTTTGTTTTTGTTGACTTTTTATTGTCCAGTTTTTGCAAGAGTGTAATTTTTTCCGAAATTCGTCATTTTTCTTTACACTTTGCTCATTTTCTTCCGGCTTCGAATTTTTTTTATTACAGTCTGAATTTTTTAGAGAATCATCGAAAAATATCTAACCTCATATACACTATTCACATTTCGAATGTCCTTGAATCTAAAATTGTTACAATTTTTTCTCGAACTTAAGAATTAAATCAACCAGTTTTTTCCCAAAATTTTGCTATTTTTTTCGAAATTCAAGAAAGGTGGGCTTTGTTTTACCTTTATTTAGCACCAAAAACTTTTATTAAAGTAGATGACATTCAAACATTATTTTTTTGTGCTCATTTTTTCGACTATGACCTAAAAACCCCTCTTGTTCTGGTAGTGCATTCCACAACAATCAACTCAAACATTAATAACCAAGTCCCAATCTTCAGATTTGAATTCATGACATAATTGATCATCCGATCTTTTCTCCTTTTCATTTTTATCATGATTAATTCCGATTATTGCAAATTTTTATTCCAAAAACATTAATTCAAATTGAATAATCGATTCTGAATTTTTGCAGGAGTTGGTTGTTTGAACATTTTTGACATCAAATTATTTGAATTCGATCAAACACCAAACGATCAGAAAGAGTTTGCAGTAAAAATTAGAATGATTACTGTTCAGAGCATTATAAAAATAGAAAAAGAGCATGGAAACAGAGAAGGTGAATAAGGGTCTTGATAGCAAATAACCAAAGTTAATTTCTGAGTGTTATTCTGATTTATGAATCAATTTCATAGGTAATTATATAATTTCTTTTATTTAGTTGTCCATTTCTTTACACATCGGCTTTCTGGTACCATACTCATGAAAATAAATCAGTTTGGTGAAAATTTGACTCAATAAGTTTACGTGGATATGTGAATTTTTGAAAAACGAGAAAAATTGAAAGAGGAACAATAAAAAAGGATACTGTAATGCATTATTTAATTTAATTTAATTTCAAAATTATATAAAAAAGACTTGGGGAATATGAGAATAGGTCTTCCGCTTGAACTAGGTTCCTCCTAATATTGGAGGTCCCGTGAAGTCTATACGAAAGTGAATTTCTAAAGAAAAGGTTAATGGGAACATAGAAAATACTTTTTTGTATGTTTTCTTGAATAGATTTTTTTTTAAATTATTTTGAGACAGTGTCATCTTTATCTTATGCTTCCTATATGTAAGCTTAGTTACAAGTTTTGTTTCCAACTTCTTTGATCTTATGACTTTTGCACATTTTGTTCATGAGAATTTCCCACCAGAGCAGAAACAAAGCACGCGATTTCTGAACACTTGTCAAACTAGAAACCCGAGCCGAACTTTTCAATTTCTTTTGGAAATTCAACACTTTCTGATTGATTTCTACCATCTTCATTTCTTTTTGTTCTCAAAAAACCAAAGATTTGATTTTCTTATTTTTGCAGAGAGAAATATTTATTCTAATAAAAATCTGAATATGCGATGAGAATGGTGTATTGTTATTATTTATTCTTTTCTTATTTTATTTTATCAGTTATTGCTGATCCTTTTATTGTGGTTCCAACATTTTTCAAGATTGGCGAAGTTAATGAGATACGGGTTCTTGGGGTGAGTTTTGTTTTTGAAATATTTGTTGGGGTAGTAAATTACGGAAAACTATTTCAATCAACAATACTGAAATATTGCGTTTTATCGCTCAATGTTTGAATTTTCAATTTCATATTTGGAAAAGAAGTGTTCAAAAACCTCACACTATTTTTTTCGGAATTCAGAATCAGCTGTTAGGGAATTCTAAGAAAAATCTAAAAATAACTGCTTTATCAAAATTGATCTGAAACTTCAGTATATTCCATTAAAGGAATAGAGCAACATTTTTCAAAAAAAATAAAAAATCTTTTGTTTTATTATTTCACCGTTTATCAAACACACCAACTTAATTATAAAAATTAATTATGAAGAAATAATTGAATTCGAAGCGTATTGTAAAACGTTCAACTTTGAAAATAATTTTCAAACATTTTCAGCACAGCTCAGATAAATGCGTCATTTTAATAAACAAAGAGCGGACAAATGCTTGTAAGTTATTCGATTTTCATTTTTTTTTCTTGTTTACAACTGCTCATATTTTCAGGTCATAAAAGTTATGTTCCTCAAGAAATTGGTAATGGTAATGCGCCTGTAAAAATCATAGTAAATGATGTTCAAAAATTTGACAAAAACGTTGACATTCGAACAAATCTTGCCAAAGTTCACATTCATTTGGACAAACCAATTTATAAAGTCAATGATTATGTGAATATTCGCGTTTTACCGTTAACTCATTCTGGAGATGTTTATCGACATTCTCTCAAAATTTATTTTGTGGTGAGTTTTCGATTTTTTTGATGAACTAGTTTTTAAAAAACGGAAACAGTGAAAACTATTGATATTGAAGCTTTTAGTAAAAAGAAACGTTACCTGTTAGGAACGACATAGTTAGTTTTTTCGTTTTTTCTTTTGAGAAATAAACAAATCATAGGGTGACGGGTTTCGTAGTCACATCGTGAGTTTTTGCAATATTCTGTTTTTGGTTTTTTATTTAGTTAGTTTTAAAACGAACGACATGTTGAAAACTTTTTCATTTATCAACGTTTCGGTAATTCATACAGGGACGATACCTGGAAATTACTCGTTAAAGAACATAAATGAAGCAAGAGTGGAAATAATGAAAAATTTCGAAAGAAAACATAGTATAAGATACAAAACGGATAAAATATAAATAAAAAACCAACTCCATCTAACAACTCACTACGACACTCCACTTTGCCCTTTGTTTAACGGAAAATGTGTTTCTTCATTTTATTTATCAATTATTCACCTTTTCGGTTTTCTCCCAAAAAAATGTGTGTTTCACAGAGTTTTTAAGTTTTTAAATTCTACAATACCCGTTTTGAATCTTGTACTTTGTTTGCTTTTGAAATTTTTCATGATTTCCACTCTTGCGTCATTTATGTTCTTTAACGAGTAATTTCCAGGTAATTGTCCCTGATGATGGTATAAATTAGCGAAACGTTGGTGAATGAAAAAGTTGTCGTTCGTTTCAAATCTGGCTGAATAAAAAACCAAAAACAGAATATTGTAAATAAAAAATTATTTTTTTTCAAACAATTTCAAGCTTTATTTCAGAACGGCAAAGGATTTGCTGAAAACGCAACAATTAAAACAATCAAAGTCAATCAGGATTCTTCAATCATCGCTGAATCTATCCAAATTCCGAGCTTCACATTTTTCGGAGATTGGAAAGTTGTCTTACATCCAATTGGATATGAAATTCAAGAATTTGTGCAATATTTCCGAGTTTCCGACTATATACTTCCAATTTTCACATTATCAGGCCAAATTCACGAAACAACAAAGAAAGATAATGTTACCTTCACAGTGGTTTCACGTTATTCTCATGGAAAACCTGTAAATGGCAATGTTTATTTGTATTGTCAGCGAAATGGTGTACAAAAAACGCAATTGAAATCTGCAAAGGTTAGTTCTTTTTAAAGTTTGTTGAAAAAAACATTTTAATGGGAGATAAAAAAGGGGTGAGAAAAAACATTTATTGGCACAGAAAAGAGATGTTTGAAAAAAGAAAAACAGAAGAAAAAAGGTTTCAAGCAATAATACTTCTTCGATTGTTATGATTATTTTTATGTCTCCTCTCCGCATATAATAAGGGATTAACAAGTGAATTAATAACGATTAAATCCTCTAAAATATTTCCACCATTATGCATAACCATACTGTAGAATTCCTCGTTAAAAAAGCGTGTTGCACTTATCAAATTGTACGGTAGCCATAACATAATATGTGTCAAAATGATGAGACATGCACTTCGAAAAACACGCGATCCGAGTTGTTTTCTCCAATTCGAATAAAATGAGGTCGAATAATGACGATGTACAATTGTTGGAGCTTGAAGTTTTGTTAGTCTCACTGATCCACCTACGAGTTGGGTTATTATTTTTCTTTGCTGATGTTTTTTTTTTTGGTGTAAATTAGTGGAAAAACAGACATTTACAACACAAAACAACTTGAAAGAAATTTTAATTAGGTCTGGCCTTTTTTCAACCCACCTCTTGTTACTAATTGTGCACTTGCTCGGGGCGAATTCCAAAATGATTGCCATGTATCCGAGATCTTGTGATTCAACGTTGTGTTGTTATTTTTAGAATTGGAAGTGGTATAGTCAACAATAGATGTGCAGGACCTAGAAAATATTTTTATTGCACTGCTAATTTCTCAGATTACGGAGTAAAGCAGAGCAAATAAAAACATTCAATTAATCTCTGGTTTTCCGGAAAGAAAAAAAAAACTTACGGATCATCATAATCAGATCGTTTACGTAACATTAAAGCATCTCTTGCTTTAAAATTAAATGACAACATTTTGCCAACAATCAAGAAATATGAAAATACAATGATTAGAAATGGTATCCAAAATGCTGTGCTTTGATGAGCAATTTCATAAAAAGCTGCTTGTTTATAAGTTTCTTCCTTGTTAGTCGAATTATTTGCAATTTCTTCAACAAACATCGAAACACACTGTGTCCAACCAAGAGGTGTTGTTTGAATTGTTCGCCATATAAAAAGTTGGGGAAGACTACAAAAAAATGAGAAAATCCAACAAAGTGATAACATTATTCGAACACGTCGACCACTGTGAATACCTAAATTTTTTATACTTTTTTCTGGAAAAAAATGTATTCTTTTGTAGACGACCTTTTTGTAGAGAAAGAAAAGAAAACCTAATTAGTCTCCAAAAAAGATTTTTTCTCGTCTTCACAAAAAACATCCCATTCTTGAAATTTTCGTCTCGCCTTCAGAAATTGTTTTTTTTTCTGGCTAAACAATTCTCAAAGTGCAGAATAACACCAAAAGTTGTGTTATTTTTTCTCGTCTTCTTTCTATTTTCAGTAACTCGGAAGTGGGAGAAAAAATTTGTTTTTGTCAGGCGTAGTGTGGTAGTAGTTTTATCTAATTATCCACCGAACGTACTTTGAAGCTGTGTTGAATATACACATTTTAATCGATCAATTGTGATTGCAATTATGATATTTGAATTGGCGTAGAATGAGAATGAACTGAGAAATTTGTAGAGTTTGCAACCAAAATCACCAAAAAACCATTCGAATGTTATCAACCATACAATTTTACCCAAAGCATATATTAGTAAAATCAGAAAATCTGATATACATAGATTGATTTTGAAAATCGAAAAATAACTCCGAGAAAATCCACCAGGCACTAAATAATTCCTCGAAACATTTGACCTAAAACAATTTTTGTTTGAATTGTATTCGATACGATATTTAAATTCCTAACTCAAATTCTGAAGAAAAACTTTAACAGAATCTTCAAAATTGAGTCTAGGTCCCTCAACTTGTTTTTGTCCTAGTCGTACATTTTATTTCCTCCCGAAAATAAGTAAGTTCGTTCTCATGAACCCGGAATATGCCGACTAGAATAACAGAATAACAAAAAAATGCTGTTATGAAGAATTCATCACGTTATTCCAAACAACTATGGAATTGAAAAAAGAAGATACTGTAGTTTTATCTATTTTTAGGTTGATGTTTGGTGTTATAATGGGTTGAAATTTAAATGAGAGCTGAAATTCGAATTAACAACTTTAATTGGGTTTAGGAATAAAATGAATTTTGTTGCAATTTTCAGAATTGTTTCGAGAAATTCGGAACACAAATCTGAAATAATCAAATGTGATTTTTATTGGGAAATTGAGAAGAAATGTTCAATTAGAATGCAAGTCCAATCCCATTTTCGGTCTTATTTCGAAAAACAATTTGAAAAGGAAGTCTTGAAATTTTTGAATGTATAATGTGAGATACTGTAGTTGATTTTTGGCGTTAGAACCGGTCAAAATTGCGAAACCTAATTAACAAGTTTAATTAAAATTGAGATGGGAATTTGTTGCAATTTTCAAATTTGTTGAGACATTTTGTGTTTTAAACAAACATTCTTTGATCTTCATACTTCAAAAATGAAGCAATTATAGCATTTTTATTATTTTGTCTTACCGTTCACTATTCAAAGTTTGCACTAAAACCAGCGAATTGAATACCAAAGCAATCGCAACAGCAGCAATTAATAAGAAAATTTCAATATTCTCCCAAATTAATCGATCCGGAACTTTCAACGTTGTGCTATCATCAACATACATTTAGAATAAGAAATAGTAGGGTTTTCTGCAACAAAAAAATTATTTATGAAAAATACGATTATGTTAGTAGTAGAAGTAATGAGATAAATCAAATAAATAAGAAAACAACAGTCTGAAAAAGTACATATGTATGTTTTGTGTACATATTTTCTATTCATACATAATCATAATAATAATAAGCTAGATGAATGGCCACAAAATATCCAAGCCAGCCGCCTGATACATTCAAAGAGTCTGTTTGGGGCGTGTTTTTCTGTGTTATTTTTTTCTCTTTGCTTCACATTTTTCTTCATTCTCAACAAAACAGCGAGAAAAAGGAAGAAGAAGAGAATAATGTGCAAAAGAAAAGGATAAATAATTATTCATATATTCATTTATGATGATAATTTTTCGAATATTCAAATCATTTTTTAAAAATAAATGCGTTCGAGACAAATCCAGCAGCAGAAAGAATAATGTTGTGAAATTTGATCGTCATCAACTAAAGCAGAAAAAAACACGTTCAAAAATTAAGAGAGACTAAAAAATATTTTCCGGATATGAGTCAAAAATTACATAAAGATTTGTTGAAAAATAAAAGCAACAAAGAATAGTTAGGAAATTCAACAAACCGATATAATGAGAGGATTTTGTAAGATTTGACTTAGAATTAGGGAAGAAGATCAAAACAAGATTTATGAATTCAAAATCCAAATATCACGAAAAATTGCAATTTTTAACTATGATGAATCTTCATCGCTGTTTTCCTGTAAATTTCGAGAATAAACATCTTGGCATGTAAAATAAAATTTCACCTGCTAACTAATGTCTAGTTCTAAAACCTCATCAATCACTAAACACATTACCGTATTTGTATGAATTTCAAGAAAAACTTGAACAATTGAGAGATTAAGCAACATTCGTTAGGTCCCAACAAAAAATCTTGAGAACATCTTTGACGTCAAACATCTTCAGGTTGCAACTTTGTGAAATGTTTGACTTAATTTGAAAAACGTTTCATTTTCTCATCCAATTTTCCGAATATATATATTGCAAACAAACATTTAATTGTTTTCAAATGAACCAAAAATTATTTTATTTATTTATGTTCATCATCGGATCAGACTCTTCCCCTTTTTCAACACAAAAAACATTACACGTAATCCTGGATTACATACATACATATATAGATGTATAAAACTATATGACATGACTCAAAAATGAGGACTGAAATGAAGAAGTAAGAAGATAGGATATTCTTGGAGCAACAAAAAAAAAGAGTTCTGTTAACGAACCCTTAAAATATGAAACCAGAAACTTTTTTCTTCTTGCTATGGGAGGTTTGTTTGACGAATCAAATTCATGTTGAAAATTGAGACCACCCATAACCAATTATTAGGAAAAGTATATGTCTACGAACTTTTTTCGTATATTTTCTGCTAATAAAAAATGTCATGTTATTTTTTAAATATTCCGAAAAAGCGAGAAAGACAAATATGAAAGTGCAACGAAACTCGAGTTTCAACAAAAAAACAAAGCAGACAATTTTTTCGAAATATGCTTTTTTTTTCAATTAGGCACTGACTGTGCTGCATGTGATGATGAATATTCTATGCAATCGGCCGGAAATTGCGCGAACTCAACCACAAAAAAACATAGAAAGAAAGATTTATTATACGTAATAGAAGTGTTCATGATGAAAAACCATATAAAAAGGGGTTAATTAAAGTGATTAGAATTTGCAAATCTTTGAAAATGTGAACATGGGCGCTGAGAGTTCTGTAAGATATGAAATTGTTGATATAACTTTTGAGACACCAAAAATCATGATATATGAATTTTTGATGATTTATTTTTGAACTTACTCAAAAATAGAGACATTCACATGTCTCATCAAACCATATGCATTATATGGGAACCAGAATAAGAAATGTGTTAGGATTACAAGAATTGTTGTTCGGAATACTCGCCCTCTTATTTGTTTTCTCCATGTTGGAACCCGTGGAGAGGAATTTGCGTGGATTTTTGCATCTCCTGAAAATCCAGGCTTTTTTAATTGAAAAACTCGAGAGAATAATTCTGACGTGTTAATTTGTCATAGTAATTAGCGATCAACTTTTGTTTTACATCATCGCCCATTTGGAAGATTAGTTTTTCATGATATCTAATTTCTCGAGAGGAGACATTTTGATAATTGGCTGAAATTTGATGTGAATTTTCCTGCAGAAAAACGTCGCTCACAAAATGTTTTACAGTTCGAAAAAAACTGTTTTATACAGATTTTGAATTGTTCATTAGAAATAACCACTTCGATTTCTTGAAAACGTTAGATTATTTTCAATTAATAAATCCGATGGTTGTTTCTGACATTTAGTTTTTTGAAAAAAAATTGGATGAGAATCATTAACTTTTCGAAATGATTTTGTGAAGTTTTCAAGTACTGAAATTTGCCACATCGGGGAACGAAAATGTTTTTCTGGCTAACTTTTATGCATAAATCTTGAATTCAATTTGAAATTATCAATTTTTTATGAAGATAAATAAGAGTACTTTGCACTTTCTGTCAGAATATAGTTTGAACACTGAAAGAGCAATATAATTAATCCGGAAATTAGATTTTCTATGTTTTTGAATAAATGCCAGGTGTATATATTTTTTTTCTTCTAACTTACTTCTATGTTTCCGATCTGATGTTACAATTTCTTCTGCACTACATCGAACAAACTGAAAAATTAATTTACGTTAAGTGTCTCTCAAAAAAAAACGAATTTACCTGTTTCAAACTGCTTCGTCTTTCAAAATTACCATCTTCTGCATCAATATGAATTATCAAATCTTTTTGACATTCATTAGAAATTGTTGTGTTTGGTTGTTTGTATTGTTGTTTTGCTCCAGGTCGGCGTAAAGAATATTTCATTACCCGAGTGGCAATGAAAGCATAGGTTATGATGAGAATGATCAATGGTCCCCAGAAGACAAGAACCTGAAGATTTTTTGAAAATATTGTTTGAAATATTTGAAAAGGTAAATATGTCTTACAAGATGGGCAATATTGTAACCATTTGCAAATACATCCGAAAGAATTAGAGAATCTTGAGATATTTGAGTTGAACTGGAAAAAAAAACATTTTTATGAATTTGGTTTTTAGAAAAGTGAACAAGTTCCCACTTGAATTTACTGATTTGCCAAATGTCACTACATTGCGTGAAACTTTCGGTAACTTCAATAGTTTCGAAAAAGAAATATTGAGGGATACTGCAAATGAAGGCAAAGACCCAAGAACAAGTCACGAGAATTGTGACAGCGTTGATTTTTCGTGATTTTGTGTGTAGTTTATTAGCATTTACAACATTTCGAAGGCGATCCAAAGCAATGCAGACAACTATATTTGCAGAACTGTAGAGTGAGAAAATTGAGAACATCTGAAAAATTGATATCACCCCAGATGTTTATATCATGTCACATTTTTAGTATAAATTCAAAAACTGAACGTTTTTAGAATGAATAATAATAAGCTTGATGATGTTTCAGACAGTTTTTCCCAGTTCATTTCTTTTTGAAATGTTTTTTTTCCGAAAAGCCAAAATATCTACAGTACCTCGCCCTCCAATTTTATTCGTCCGTCTTATTTTCTTCTCAGAAATGTCTAGCTTTTGAGCAAAACATATTTTCTTTCATTGTATAATTTCCGCAAACTATGAATAATGAAAACTTTGGTCATCAATTTCTCGAGAAAACATTTCAATTTTTGTTGTGAAATTGAATTGTTTTTGTGTTATTTTGCAATCTCTTTCTGATTTTTGAACAACAATTTTTTCTTACTCGATTTTTTTGCAAAGATAATGAAGAAAAACTAAGGAAGTGAAGTGAGAAGGGGTATTTAAAAAAACGAACCTGGAATATTTTGCAGAAAAAACTATTAGCATACCAGCCATATGAGATAAGCCAGATTGTTTTGAAAATGGCATGAATAAGGATTAGGAAGTCTGTGATGTTTAGATGAATTTTGAGCATAACAAATCCACTCTGAAAATGAACAGGATTTTATCTTGCGAACTTCTCAAATTCATCAATATCTTACCTTTACGGGATCTCGATTACTGACAATTTTTCTTTCTCTGATCAATCTCCAAATACTCACAAGATTTGCTGGAACTCCCAAACATATAACAACACATAAATAAACAATTTCAATATAATCACTGATCAAATACGTTGGAGCTGAAGACTCTTCCGTAGACATCTGGAAATGAAATGAAATGGGATGCAGTGTACTTTTCTCGAATTCAAATCAAAACCGGAAGAACACAAATTAGATGATGATCACATCGGGAATAGAAAGAAGAGAGGAATAAGGATGGCAAAAACAATAGAGAAAAGAGTACAAAAAAGGAGGAAAAAAAAGCTTGTTTTTCATGTGTGGTCGGGGCGTTTTTTTTGTTGAAATAGTAGGTTGGAATGGGGTGGGATGAATGAAGGGTCAAATGAATAAGTCATTAAACTCTCGAAATGAATTCTTCTGTTTTCTTAAGATTCCATGTTTGTGTCTTAACATTTTGAAAGGGCAGTATTTGTTCTGTCTGGAGAAACCCAAGGAATTTTTATAATTCGAGGGGAAGTGGTTTAGTAATTGTTAAAAAATATATGAAAATTTAAGAACGGGAATCTAAAATTGAAGGGCCAAGAGCCGAGAAAAAATATTTTGAACAATAAAAAATGCTAATGAATGTGTTGTTATTTTTAAAAGAAAATCCCTAGTATTGATCCTTCTACTTGATTTTTTTTTGAAAAATTTAGTTTTTTTTTTTTAAATGCAGTCGCAAGACACAAAGAATCATTAAAAACATTGTCGCTATTCCTATCTTGAAACTTTTACAAACTTTGAGAGCAATTCGAAAATGAATGAGATCATGTGTCTAGAATAAACATTCTCTTTATGAACTCATAATTTTTCTGATTCTCATTAGTTTTAAAATATTCCTTGATCACATTTCATATTTTTTCATTATTTCTAACGTGTTTTCAGACCGAAATTCCTTTTTCCTAGAGCCAAAAAACGCCCACTCTGAATGAGGAAAATATAAAATTTCAATGAGAAACCCAATAGTAGTAGTACATATATAAATAAAAGAAAAGTACACGATTTTGAATTCAAAACATGATAGGGAAAAGCCTGAACTCATTAATTTGAAGACACCGCTTTTTTCCTCTTGGCGAAGAAAAACTTTTTGCTTCTATCCGCAAAAAAAGACAAAAATGAATATATAAAGAGAGAAGACAAGACAAAGAAAAAGCTATAAAATGTATGTACATAAAACACAATTATATCCATCTTTGGTGTGAAACAGAAAAACGGGCCACACATACTTTTTTTTTTGTTAGAAGAAAGCCATCTAAAAGTGTTCCGACCTCGCGGATCTCACTCACTTATTAGATTATTCCGAAAGCACACACAAAAAAATGGGGACAAAAAAGTGCGAGACGAAAAAAAATCTCTATTTTTTCAGCTTACAAATGGCGAATGGACTGGAAATGCAAACTTGACAGACTGTGGAGAAAAGGTAAAAAACAAAACGACAGAAAATGTAATTATGGGGGAGAAGAAATCGTAGTGATCTGTGAAAATATGTATATTTTTAGTAATTATACAATTTTGAAATTTCTCAGAAAATAATAACAAACAAAATTTGTTGTTTTTTCAGATTCTCATTGAAGCGCGAGAAAGTGGTTCTGGATTGAAACAAGATTATACAATTGATTGGGATTTGAGAAAACCAAAATTTGAAATCATAGCTCTTCGACCATATTTCAATTCGGAAACTGAACAAGTTCAAATCTTGGTAAGCAAAAAGGCCGAATGAAAAATATTCATTTCCGTTCGAAATTAATCAGACAAGATTGAGTTTTTAAAGTACAAAAATAATGTAGTGTGAATAATTATTGTCTGGAATTTTCTTCGACTCAAAACGGAAGGTCGAAATAAAACTAGACATAAAAAACATTCATTTAAAGTATGGCGGTCTTGAAAAAAGTTTATACTTTATGACCAAACGTCATTTATGAAACATTGAAAAAATGAATAATCAATTTATTTCGCAGGTGTTTTTAATTTAAAAACTTATCAAAATTTCGAAAAGTACACTTGAGCGACTTTCAGAAAAGGGTTGATTAATATCAATTCATTGGAACTCACAATCAAAATAAATAATGTAGAGAAAAAAAAAGGAAAACATCCTCTTTCAATTTCCGGAATTTCAAAAAATAATGATTATTCACATTATTGCACATGTCAATTTCAAACTAAAAAGAAAGAAAGAACAAACCACAAAGTTTCTAATTTTTTCTAGAAAAGTTTATGGGAAAATGAGAATTTCAAGAGTTTGATTTGAAGTTTAATCTTTTCAGCTTTTTGAGTTTGAAAAGTGTCCCGGAAATTTTTTAGAAAATGACTGCAAAATACCCAATAGGGGATTGAGAAAATCTTCATTCTTCCAAATGTGGCAATAAATCAAGTCCAGTTCAATTTGCTGGTGCTTAAAAGAAAAAATATTGAAATTGTTTTTTTTAGAGAAAAGCGCTAAAATTTAGTTGTTCTGGTAAGTGAAGACCACTTCAATCTTTTCTAGAATTAAAATAAATCAGTCTTACAATTGGTCCCGGTAATGTTTATCCTGATTCAATTGTTATTCAAAAAAATCTGGAAAAATGGCTAAGAATAACCACTAATTTCGGAAAAATCCTCATCCATCTAATAAGCACAATAATTCAAGATGTGCGTAATTTGCTCTTCAACAAAAAATTGAAATTGGAAATGTATATTTTATTTCAGATTGAAAGCGCTGGAATTTCAACTGGCATTGTCAATATTGAATTAGTTGCTCTTAAAGGAGACTTAGGAAAAGTTGATACAACAACACTTACTGCCCCGGCGGCAAATATTGATACAATCGTTAATATTCCTTTGCCAGAATCATGGAAAACTAATGTTAAAGTTATTTCAGTAAAGGTAACTCAAATACTTCACAACAAAAAACAAAAAATAAATATCTCAAATTTCCAGGCTACTCGACAAATCGATGAAAATGATAAGAGTCGAGTTTTAACTTTATATCTACCAAACCTAGACAAATCAGTACTCTCAAAAACATTATTAACTATAAATAACCCAAAGGTTAATTATGTATATAATGACGTCATTGATGTTAAAATCACAAGAGTGAATAATTTGCTATACAAATTTTTGGTAAGTGTTTTTTTTTATTTCAAAATCAATAGAATATTAATCCTGCAGGATAAAGAAACTAATGTGTATGTATGTATGGAAAAAATATATAGAAAAAAGACAGCAAAAAAAGTGACCCATGATTTGGGAATTTCCGGTCGGTAGTTATGACGTTCAAAAAATAAAGTTCTTATTTTTTTCGTTAAAAAAATGAAAAACTAAATTTTTAATTGAAACCTACTGTTTCAAATTTCAAAAATTATGTTTATAAATTGTGAAATTTTAAGAAAACAACATTTTCAAAAACCAGAAAATGTGAAAAAATATAGACATATTTTTCGCAGATAAAAACACACATAAAATATATAAATCAAAGAAAACATATGATTAGCCAAAATAGTCTTTTAAGACAGCCCAAAGCTCAGAAAAAGAAGGAGCAGGAGAAAAAAAAAACATATATAGAAGGAATAAATAAATAAATAGTTTTTGTTTTCAGATTGTTTGCTCATCAAATATTCCACAATGGATTGAAGACGATGGAAATTCGACAATTTTGAAAATAAAAATCTCGCAAAAAATGGATGGAACGTGCTACTTAGCCGCACTTATGACCGAAAAAACAACAACAAACAGCAGAAATGTGTTTTCTGATGTCATTTTGTTCCGTGTTCGAAATTTTTGTGAGGTTTCGTTTTCCTCTGATTTTTTTCGGAAAAATTATGACACATATTTTTGACTGTGATAGAATTTGATAGATTTTTTCGGGGATTTTTATAATTTCCAGAATTTATGAAAATTATCTGAGAAGATTTCAAAAAGAAATCGTGAAGACTGGGATGAAAGTTAAAAAAAACAAATATCTTGTTAAAAAAATCTTGTATTTTTAGAGCTGTAATGTGCAAATCAACAAAATTGACTCTCATGGAATGCGAAAACCATTAGCATCACCTCACGATTCTGTTGAACCTCGCGACACTGTAGAACTCGCATTTACTGGTTCTCCGTTTTCACTTGTAATCTACAGAGTGATCGATGATCGTTTAAATCATATCGAAAATATTGTAGGTTTCTATTATTATTATTATTATTAAAAATGAAAACAATCAAAACATATTTTTCTAGAACATGGCCGAAGAATCAGAAGACTATGATTATCTTTTCACATTCTCGAAAAAAACATCAGGAATCAATATATTCAGCGATGGAGACTGGAAAGGAATAACAGACAGAATAAGTGAATAATATCAAATCATAATACAAAATTTGATTCGTATTTTTAATTTCAGTTGATGCGTGCTGTGAGAATTTGGGTTCATTTTTCGATGGTTCTGATCAAAAATCAAGAATATCAAAAGAATGTTTGAATAAATTGAATGGTTGTCCATCAATTGATCAATTGAATGCACCATTAAGAGTTCGTAATGGTGGTTTACCGATTACTGTTAGTACTCATCAACGCAAAACTTTACTTGTTGAACAGTAAGTTATTTGCTGTGACACTACCTAATTTCCTATTAATTTTAAAATTTGTTTTTATAGAAGAGTTGATGATGTTTCAGTACCTCAAGAGGAAAACAAAAATTCAAGAAAAATATTCCCAGAAACTTGGCTTTTCGATTCTATTATTTTACCGTGAGTATTCAAAACACACGATGTATGAGAAAAACGCTTCAAAATTTCAGATCCAATGGAAGTGGAACTATTACAGCTGAAGTCCCAGATTCTATCACTACTTGGGAAGTTGGAAGTCAATTTTGGGCAAAGGGAAAATTATCGCTTTATCGTGCCAAAACTGAAAGGATTTATACGAAGAAATCTATTTTCCTTGAGGTATTCCGATTTTTTTAATCCAGACATGATCAATTCTCAAAATTTCAGTTCGATCTACCAAAACACGTGTACGTTAATGAAATTATCAGTCCTTTGATTACTGTTGCCACCTCGAGTTCTCAAAATCAAAAAGGGTCCAGAGACAATAAAATGGTTTTGTGTTTATCAAAACTACCACGACATGTTTGTGGAGATCAAGGAGTTGATGGTAAAAAAGGAGAAGCTTATTACAATCGAATAGATTTGACTGGAAAACAATCCGATGCAAAATATGTGATGTTGAATTTTCTAACAGCTGGAGCTTTTAATGTGACTGTCACTTTGCAATGGCATAGCTGTGAATCAAATGCAGAACTCATTGATGCTGTTACTCGACTTGTTGTTGTTCAAAAACGACCAGATACAAGAACATATGAAGAGGCACATACAATCAATCCTGAAAAAGAGAGTTCAGCGAATATGGATAGAACAATTATCAGTGAGAAATAATTTGAAAAGAAAAAGTAAAATGTATGGTTTCAGCTTTCTCCGATAAAAAAAGCGCTACTGAACCTGACACTATGCACACTCTAATTAGGTCAGATCTAGAAGATTCGGATACAGTTTACAGTTTTAAGTTGACAATTTCTGGTGCGTTTTAATTGTTAAAATCGTCTATGGTAATGCACGATTTTATTTAGAATTTTTACAACCCGAAAGAAAAATAGTGAGAGAATATGAAGACAGAATGCCAAGAACATTAACCTCTGTCATCAAAGATTTTGCATCAACGTTATATGATTTTAAAACAATCTCACTTGAGAAAAACGAGGATAAAACAGAACTCAAACAAAGAGTCAACAGCTGTAAGTTCCTAATATTGCAAAGTTTTTCTCAATTTTAGTATTATTCTTACAGTAGAAAATCGTCTAATGGGTTTCTCTGATTGTTCATCTGATGGAAAACCATGTGGTTATAACTTTTTTGGACCACCAGTAGATTCAAAATCATATTCAATTTTGTTGACTGCAATTGCAACAAGTCTTCTTTGTTCTGCTGATGCTGAAAAATCTCGCGTAAATGGATCATTACAAACTGTTATGAAATACATCCCAAGATTGAATGACACTGATTTCAATGCGGATTTGAGTGATATTATTGATATTGAGAATGTGGAAGACAAAAAATTCATTATTGTTTCGTTTTTATTCCGCGCGATAAAAGATTGTCGAAATTATACAATGAATTCGGTAAGTTTTGAAACAATATTCGAAATACTCTTTTTTTTTCGTTTTCGATAAAATCGTACAATAGTCTCACAAGATATCTCTACGAACTCGATGAAAATAGTTTGAATGATCGACGGACGCTTGCTGCTATTGCTTCAATGGCCAGTGATGCCACTTCAGAATTGATGAGAGGTCATTTATTGACTAGAATGGATAGTAAGTTGATTTGTTGTCTAGTGTAAAAATTAAAAAAAAAAACGCAATTCAGGCAAGAAAAAACCACCATTCTGGAATTGTGGTAGTTACGATATTGATGGACCAAACCAAGAGACAAACTATTTCAACAAGAGAAGAGAAGAGGTATCTTAGAAAACAAAAAGATTTTTGAAGTTTCAAAGACATAATTACGAAAAGCCCATGTTTTGTCAATATCAATAATTATCTTGTTTTTCAGAGTTGTCAACTATTGACAAATAGCCTTGCATTATCAGCTGTTGTTAATGCGAATGCTGAAGGTGGTGATTACGATTGGGATAGTTTGGCTGAATGGATTTCTGATAAACAAGCTAATCTTGGAACTTTTGGAAACTCTATTAACACAGTCATTGTCAAAAGATCTTTGTATGAGAAAAAACGAAAATCGTTAGATAATTCCAATGGAAACATTAAGGTTTAATCCAAAAAATTTTTGAAGAAAATAATTCAAAATGTTTTAGGTTACAATTTCTTGTGATACTTGCACCGAAAAGACAATAAATGTAACAAATCAAGCAGAAGAAATTCATGTAAGAACAACAGAAGCAAAAAAAAACTAGGCGGTAGAGCTGAAAATCAAGTTTCTTTTCAGATTCCGGTAAATCAACGAACCGTGAAACTAAAAGTGCAAGGAAAAGGCAAAGTTACTGTGACAGCAAGAATTATTGCGAATATGAGACCAAGACAAAAACGACAATTGCCACAAAGTGTTTATTATCCGGTCAATATAATTGTCAATCAGATTCATTCAGCGCGGAATGTTATTCAGACTGTTTGTTTGAAGTGAGTCTTGGAAAATAAGAAAGAAACGTTTGATATAAGCTGGAAAATCAATCAAATATTTATCGTAACGATATAAATTTTGCTTAAAATCACAAAAACACCATTTTTTCAGACACTTCAAACGTTTACTAATTAACCAAATGTTGATATTTGCTTTTTCAGTGAAGAAAAACAAAGATAATTTTTCAACTGTTGGGCCTAGTCTATTGAATTTTTGGAATTTGGGCTAACGAGTTTGGAAACTAATAATTGCGAGTAGTAAATTACATACTTCGAATTTTTAAGAAAAATGATCATCATAAATTCTCCATCACAAATAAAATTTCCACAAAAATTCTTAACAAGTTGATTTTAGCGTAAGTACACCAGTTATCCGAACTTTGGAAATATCACACGGAACCTATACATTATTCGATCCAATTGAAAGTTCATTGAAATTTTTGAACAATTCACAAACTCCAATAAATGTTGCTGTCTCGTCGGTTGGTATTCATTTTATGATTAAAAACATAGTTGCAAATAAAACTATTTGTTATGAATTGCAACTTGGAGAATCAAATAAAGGCAGAAATTCGCCTAGCCTTGCTTCGCCTGTTCCAATTCGTGCTACTCATGACGTTCAAGGTCTAGTTGGAATGGTATTAATCTCACATCCAGATGCTCCAAAAAGTACTCCAAAACGAAAACGCGTAAGCATTACCAGATCACGATTTATTCGAGAGATCAGTGACCCGGATATGTCTGTTGACAAAATTTGTTTTGATAATGGAAATTGTGCATGTGCTGAATTAACTTGTGATGTTCAATACAACCAATGCCCATATGATGATCAAACAAAACTATCAAAAAAACTGCAGCAAAAGGGAAACTTTAGTGAGTGTTTTTTGGGGAGCAAAAAAACTATCATAAAAATAGAATTATTAGTCTGTCCCATATTGTGCATACAAAATGTGTTCAATTCCAGTGAAAAAAACCGGAAATTGTATATATAACAGCATGATACTATTTTTTTGCTATTTTTGAAAAAGTTCACTAAAATGAAATGATTTTTAGGGATCTGGAGAGAATATCAAAATTTTTCATGGAATTATTTCAAAAAAAAAATAAGATGGCTTTCGTAATCCTCAAGGGAAATAGTTGAAAATTAACCAAATTTATTAAATATTTTGCAATTAAAAATTCTATGAGCATAATAGAAAAATGTTGCAATTTTTCAGTTCTTCGCGTTCGTGCTTCAAATATAACCAATGAAACTTATAACAATGTGGAATATTCAATCATCACTTGCAAAATTACAGATTATAAACCACAAAGTGCAAAAGAAAAACTACCTGACAGTAAGAACTTTTTTTTTATTTTTGAAGGATTCTGAAGATGTTTCAAAAAATCGGACCTGTTTATAGATTTGAACCAAGATATTCGAATATGGGTTCGATCTTGTAATGAATATACTCGTAATAATACAGTGTATATGATAATGGGACATGAAGATGGTTGGACACAAAATTCGAAAAGTAATTATAATTACATTATGAATTCAAATGATCGAATTGAAGAGAATACAAAAAAATGTGGAGTTTTGAATAGTTTTATCACTTTGAGCGATTGAGCCATAACAAATCTTAAATCGGGATTGTAATGTTGTTTTTCCTCTTTCCTTTATTCTTGCAAAAACCAGAACCAAAAAGAAATAAATGTTTATCACAAATACAATACATCACTGATGTTACCAGAAAGATTTCTCAATAACTTTGAAAAATCACAACCCATAAACAAATAAATTAGAAAATCTTTGTGTGTGCTAACAAAGTCTGCATAACAATATCAGCTTCCCATCGAATACATTTTTCATGTATACTTAAATTCTCATTCATTGATGGGAATTGGAAAGGATCGGCGACTGTCAAACCACGTCCAATTATAACATCAATTGCATCTTCGAGAATTGGAGTTGACATATTCACAAATAGATCAACTGTCTAAACAAAATATTGTTAACGAACTTTGAATTTTCAATTTAGGTAACTAACTTTTTGGGACATCAAACCAACTTTACTATCAACTAGATTTGCTTGAGTATTGATCATATTCACAAATCCTTTCACTTTTCTATTTTGCATTTCTATTTTCAGCATAAATTCAGTTTCAAGTTGAATTGTCACAATACTTCCCTCAATGTTGTCCAAAGGCGGGTTTGCAAAAACCTAAAACTTTTCAAATTCAGTTAGTTAGAAAATATGTAAGTCAGAACTCACATTCATTGAAGCATTCAAATATACCAACGCTTTACCTTCTTGTAAATCAATAACCGGTGGAGATAAAGTGGAGGCTTCTACGTATAAAGATCGATTTGGTGTTTGAACGGCAAGTTCAGGGAACACTGTGCCGATGCATAACGTTTCACATTCGGTTCGCAAAAAGTCGGATTCAATTTTAGTTCTGTAATTTTATGAGTTCAGGAACAGTATATTAAATTCTGGAGACCAAAAAGATTTTGAATGGTAGCTTCTGGGAATTTTCCAGTATGAAAACTCACTTCAAATGATCTGAAAAATGAGCGGCAGCAATAATACTTTTCACCGTGTTTTCTTCAATAAACATATCCAACATTCTACTTGATTTGGTCAAATTTCCAATCTTTTCCATAGTTGAATCTTTCACAGTATTACTTTCAACTAATTCACCTTGCCAAATAATATCACTTCTCATATGGAAATCAACATTTTGATGAGCCATTGAAATTGATCTCATTGTTTGGATTAATGTGACTTCTGGTGAATGACTAATCGAAATATTTGTTGGGAATTGATAGAGTTGTGCTTCAACCCAGGGCAGCAAATGATTTTTCATCATTTCACAATATTCATCTTCAAGTTTATGACGAATTTGTCGAGTTATACTATCTCTAAACCAATGAATGACTTCAGCAGCCATACTTCCAGCAAAGGAAACTCGAAGATCTCGAATTTGCGCAACACAATTATGAACTTCAACTTCGTTATCAGGATTGATTCTCATTGCAACTTCACTTATCAAACCAGTCATTTGTGCATTAATATTTCCTCTCAATGCAATTGGAATCCATTGGAAAAACTCAACATTCCAATCAGCTGACATTTGCGCATAACCACTCAGTGTAGAAAGATATAAAAATGTGTGATCTGATGGTCGGAAACGAATTAATGGGGGAACAAATTTCTTCAAAGTTATATTTGAAACAGCCATTTCACCACTCGCAAAATTGTTATAAAAAGATTCTCGAATATCTGGTATTTTCAAATGTGGAGCTGCCATTGATAACCATTGTCTCGTAAAATTCGCCGCTTCGTGTAATCCAATTTCGTTCACTCGTAATAATAGGGCATTTGAAACAATTATATAAGTTATAATAAGCAATATAATTGGTATCCGCATTGCCTGAAATCAAATTCAATTAATAATGGTCATTTATTTCAAGAGATGAGAAAAAAAAACAAAGTGAGAGATAATAAAGTAAATAATTGTGTCGGCGATTCGGGGTTGGGTTGCTCTTCAAGTTTTCGGACACAAAGCATCAAAAACATTGCAAAAAACATTTATCAAGTGGACTTATCACGAGTTCAGGTCTTTTTTGAGAGATTCGGAACTTTTCCTTGGAAGTTTCAAAAATAAGTGCAAAAGACTCAAAGAACATACATCAGGAACAAATTTGAATAATTACATTAAAGTTAACCAAATTATAGGGTGAACAATTTTAGTTTTTTTCTTGTGAAAATAACCACAAAATAGTTGTATTTTTTCTAACTAAGAATACAAATTTCAATCGGTGAATTTGAACATTATGTATAAATGTTTCACGGAGTCACAAAAAGGAAACAAACAAACATAATACCCCAAATACAAAACAAAATACAAAAGACGGTCGGATTTCAAAAATCCGCCCAACCTTTTTCCACTTCTAAAACAATCTTTCTCTTTTTGGTGGGTAGGTATGTATTTGAAATTTGATACAGATGACACGATTTTCAATCACACTCCTCACGAAACTCAAGTGAAGAAGAACAACTGAACCTCAGCCGACCTCAATCATCCATAAACCATAAGTCATAAGAAGAAGAAGAATAAAAATAATATCATTTCTAAATTAATAAATATTTGTTCAGGATTTCTTTATGAAATGAATGAAAAACCAAACGCACACAAATTGAGAGAATAAATAAATGGTCATTTTTGATTTGACCTGATGGATGCTCTTCTCTTTTTCGCTTAACAAAAAAACCGTACATTTTTGACAGCACTAAAGAAACGAAATGTTCTTTTTTGTTGCTTTGATGTATTGTTTTAACAAATAAACACACACTTTGTTACTCAATTTGTCTTGTAATAATGGTCAAAAGTGTTGGTTTACAAAAAAACATGAGGAATAGTACAAAGAACTCGATGTTTGAGTCACGGAAGCGCCAATCACATTGAATAAATGTTGTAATTTAATCGCAAAAGTTTTCCGGGTAAATCAAAATGCTTTTTTGTACTGTAAATTTTCCGAAATTTCACTGAATCTGAAGAAATATTTGATTTGAAAAAAACGGTAAGACAATTATATTGAGGAAAACATGTAAGATAAATTTATTGAGGATAAAAATTAAGATTGCAGAACAAATTGTCAAAAGTTTTCACTGAAGTCAAATTGAAAATTCTTTATTTAAAATACCAGAATAAAGAAAAAAAGAAAAATAACCACAAGTTCTCAAATCTGCAAAATTTGTAAACTCTGTGCCGAAGTTGAAAATTTCAAAAATAAAAATGAAAAATCGTCGAACAACAAAATATTTTATTTCAAGTGCATCAATCAAAACACGAAACAACATTCTGAACTTTGGAAATGAATAAATGTTTTCACACCTCTCTTTTTTCGCAACAATATAAACCGTAAATACAAAACTTTTATTTGTTTTTGCACCGAAACACTTATTACCAAATATATATTTACATAATAAAGTCATCAGAAATAAAATATTTTTAAAGGCTTTTTTCATATTCCGGTGGACTTTCAATCATAATTTTTGGATAATTGTAATACAGATCATCTTCTGGCTTGTTGAGTTTTCGACTCAAATCGACGTTGGAAAAATCTGCAAAAATATTTGAATAAGGTAGATAGTATGTTTTGAAGAATTACCGTAATCCTCATCACTATCTAAAATTGTCTCATCTTTTCGAAAATGTGTCAAGGGATTTGAGAATGTCTCGTGCTTGTTATTCCTGTATAAGATAAAGAAATTGCTTCAAAAATGATTTTTGATAAGTTCAACTAACTTCAAAATATTATCAATATGATCATCGTCATCAGTAAGATTAGAGGGGGGATCAGCTAGAACATAATCATCATCTGAATCGAAAAGTTCATCTCGGAATTTTGCGTCATCCCAAACTGGATTATCAAAATATATCATTGTTGTGTCGATTTCTTTTGATGTTTGATGAGCAATTCCTATCAAAAATGTATGGTTTCTTAATTTTCTAATGTTCATGTAACATACTTTTTACTCCTCGAACATCTTCAATTCCTTTTGGAAGTGGTGGGAGAACACTCTCAAATGCTTGCGAATCCTGAAACAGAAACATGTAATATTTCGCACTACAATATTGGACAAATTTGTGGTCTGTGACATGAAAATATCAAACTTTATTGTATTCACTAATACGGGGGTTTCATAATAATTATTTTTGGAAAGTACTAGGATGATTTATCAAAAAATGACATTTATGGAAAATGTCTGCTGCAATTAGAGGCCAACAAATTGGTAGTCATATAAACTACAAAGTATTCGAACTGGGATAATTAGTAGAATTGTTCATAAAGATGTTGATGTTTGAGGACGAAAAAATAATTTCTTACATTAGAATTCTGAAACTTCAGTAGGTGTTAGGTTTTCAACAACACTTGGTATAAACGCTTAAGAAAAAATAAACACACCACATCTTCAAACTAGAGTAAATTACCATTTTCATATTGTTTTGGTATCCCTAGCTTTTCCTATAAAGAATTATCATGATTCTTCAATGAATCCTGCGAAATGTGAAACCACTTGAACAATTTTTGATCATTAACAAAAACTTTCAAATAATTCAATCATCCTTCAAACGCAAAATTTTTAGCACATACCCTAAAAAATTTTTGTTAAGAGAACAATTTTTCAATATAGAAAAGCCATCGGAAACCCAGTTTTTTTAAATTATCAAAATAATTATTCATTCTTCAATTTTTGTTGAAAAATTCTATCCCCTTTCACCTAAATTTTACTATTTTTCATTGAATAGTGCTTTAAAAAATAATTACATGTTGTATCTATTCAAAATCCCTTCAACAAAAAAACTTAATAAGAAAAAACACAAAAAAATTGAATCTTCTCATTAATTCGGACATAAACTCTCTCTTTTTCTTTACCCATCTTTTTTTATTCTTTTTTCTCTTCCCTCCCCCTTTCTTTTCAACTCCCATGCCTGTTTAAAGGATCATCGATTTTTTCGGCCCACAAGGTCTTCGCAAGCGTCCCTTCTAGTGGCCAAGCGTGTCTCTCGCGTCTCTTCGTTCGCTCACACTATTTCATTTATTTTTTTGTTGGTTAGCCGTTCGTTTGTGTGTTTACCTTTTTTGCGGCCATCAACATTATTTCCTCAAATATGGACGCATTCTCTTTATTTTGCTTGTTGTCCTCTGAAATATATTTGCTTGATTTGATATTTTCCAAATGTTTATTACCTTGTTCTATTTCATTTGATCGATTTCGAAGTTCTGTAAAGTAATTTTGCGCTATATTTATGTGTGAAAAATGAAATAACTTACTTGTAGTTGTTAGAAATCTGCGATGAAATTTTCCGCATTCTCGATCACACGGCCATATTTCGCAATAAACCGTCCCATTTGATTGTTTCAACAGCTCTCGATACATTCTAAAACTTTTTGCTTCGTTTTGTATTATAATAAAATAATAATATTTTTCAGTAAGTAAGCAAAATGGAACTGGAAAAAGAGAAAGACGAAGAGGAGAAGAAGGTATATTTTTATAATTATGGTTTAGAATCAAAAAGGGAGAAAAATCTAGCTAGCTTATATATAACGTTGGGTAATAATCAAATAATTTGCTTCTATTTTTTAGCCTGCAATGAAAACCGAAGAGGAAATTGGAAATGATGACGAAAGCGATACTGAACAAGTTAGCGAAAATGATATTAAAGAGGAGGATCAAGAAGAGGAAGAAGAAGTAGAGGAAGAGGAGATTTTACCTCCACCAGTGGTATGGTTTTTCTTTTCAAAAAATTAAATTAAGTTAAGAATAATCAATACACATTTTCAAAAAAAGTTGAATCACATCACACCTCAAAAACTTATCAGATAACTAATTAGATGAAAATATTTGCGTGACAAATGTGAAATTATTGAACCAAGAAATAATGTTAAAAAAAACACAATTTTTATTTCAGGTTGAGCTCAAAGAACTGCATAGTAATCCTGATTTCGCGGTCGTTTGCAGTTTCTTCAACAAATTTTCGTTGATGGGTAATTTGCGTCATTTGAGCTTTGGAAAACTGGAAACACTTTTCACCACATATGAAAATAACAAAGGTTGGTTTTGGGTTTAAAATGAAAAAGCTTTGTTTTTAAAACTGCGGATGTCTTTCACGGTTTTCGAAATGCCGAAATAGAAGACGGGTTATCACTATAATTTCCATAGAAAAGTATCACAAAATAAATTGACAGAACTAAAAAAAGATTTACTTTATTGAAAAATGTGTAATTCAATAATTGAGTACCAATTTTGAGATCGAAAAGGCTGTTTCACAGCTTTTGCAACGTTTAATATGAATATTATTTTTAAGTTCCGCGAGAGCTGATAGATCTTCATGTGTTTTTGCTGCGACGTATCAAATATCAACATGCTACAGTGGATAATTGGGAAAAATATTTGCGAAAATGTTTAGCTTCTGATCCAACTACTGTTGAAGAACTAACACGTATTGAAAGGTTAGCTCTAATTTTTCTCATCACAATTCAAAAATAGAAACATCGTCATTTCCAGATATGGAGGCTATGCTTACATTTCAATTGCTGACAAGATTCGAATTTTGAAAGCATTATGTGAACTTCAAATTGAATTAAATGCAAAGTTTCGTGAAGCAGTGAGTTCGGGATATAAAATGGATGAATAAAAAAGGATTAGAGAATATCTGCCCTTGACAACACTATGAAAGGTTTCAAAAACGGATTAAAGAAAAGCAAAGCATGAATTCTGAAGATCAGATAAAAAATACAAAAAAATTGGAAAAATGGAAGCCAATAAAAAACTGTTTCCTTTCAGATTATGCAAACTTGCCGAAATATCGATTTTCGTCTAATTCCCGTTGGAACAGATCGTTATGGATTATCTTATTGGTATCAACAAGATAATGAATGTACTATGAGATTATATACAGAGGAAGCTGATGATCACTGTGGTAGTACATGGACTTTAGCTGCAAAAACACACGATGAGCTCAAAACGTTGATTGAGAATTTGGAGAAGGATGATTTAGGATATGATAAATCATTGGATCCACTTGAAAAACAAAAGTTGACTGATGTAGGTGCTATTTTCAGAAAAAAAGACTATTTATAAATATTTTATTTATTGTTTTTCAGATTCAAAAAGGAAAGATTCCTGTGGGACATACTGATAAGAAGGGAACTTATCTTGATACTTATATCGATCAAAGCTCAGTTCAAAAGCTCAAAGATGAAGTTTTGAAGAAAAAAACGGAACGAAACAATCGAAAGACTGGAACACATACAAAAGTTAGGAAATTTGTGGAGGAAGAGCCAGAAGAAGAAGAAGTTGAAGAGGAAAAACCGAAAGTTGAGGATGATCAAGAAGATAAGGAAGATGAGGTTGAAATACCTGAAGAATTGTTGGAAGGAAGAAGACCACGTAGAGGAGCTTCAATCAAGGCTGCTTCAAATCTCAAGAAAGTATTGGGTGTTGGAACAACTCCAAAAAGAACTCCAAAGAAAACGACGGAAAAGAAAGCATCAGTTGAACCAAGTGATCATGAAGATGAAGAAGACGAAGACGATAATGAGGATGAAGATGAAGAAGTAAGTGAAGATGAGCAAGAGGACAGTGGAGATGAATTTCGTCCAAAAAGTGAAAAGAAAAAATCAAAGAAAAAGAGAGTTAAAAAAAGAAAGGCAACACCATCTGATGATGAAGACGATGAAAGTGTTGAAGATGAAGAAATTGTGGTTAAAGAGAGAAAAGTTGCGACTGGTGATGCTGCTTGTGGAAAATGTAAAACGTCAAAAGATTGGGAAGTGTTGCTTTTATGCGATTGTTGTGATGATGCTTGGCATACGTATTGTCTCAAGCCAGTGCTTTGGTTTGTGCCTGATGGTGATTGGTATTGCCCGAAATGTAAACATGGGCGGCTTATCAATCGATTGAAAGTGGTTGAGGAGCGATTGAATGTCGATTTGGACCTGAAAGCTATTGAGGATAAAAAAAAACAAGCAGCTGCAGAGAGACTTCGTAGAGAAATGGAACATATTGGTGTGAATTTGAACAATATCATCCAAACTCATCAAGTTCTTTTGCAACCGCAAAAACAATCGAGTTCTAGTGAAAGTGAGGATGATGGTACACAGAGAAAGTCGAAAAAGAAAGCTGTGAAGTAAGTTTTACTCAGTCTCAAAGTAATATCTAGAAACTTTTTAAGTTAATTTTGAAAAAATCAGTTAGATTTAGGTTTAAAACATTCGTTTTATTTTGATTACGACAAGTTTAAAAACATATAAACTTTTATCATTTACAGAAAAATGTCCAATTGGAATAAACCAAAACCTCAAAACAATGTTCCGGTTTATGTTGGTGGTCGACGCTCTTGCCGCAACACCAATAAAGTTGATTACAAAGGTTCGGAATTTGATCAAATGATCAATGAAGCAGTTGAGAATATTGATGGTGCTCCACTAAAAGAAGTCAAGCCACCAAAAGAGCCAGAACTTGATGAAAATGGAGTTCCTATTCCAAAGGCACCAAGAGGAAAGAAACGAGCAAAGTTGAATGATTTGGATGCGGTTGTTGATAGTGATGGTAGCAATAATTATGAAGAGTAAGTTTTTGATTTGACATACAATAAAAAATTTGTTCTGAAAAATAATGAACTTTTTTTTCAGGGAGCAAGAAGAGACTCCAAGTGAAGAAGAGGAAGAGGCCGAAATTGATTCTGGTTCTGATTTTGAGGATGAACTTCCGAAAACTTCGAAACATAGAAGCCGTAGATCGAAAACTGGTGGAAGACGTAATGGTGGTGGAGGTGGAAAAGGTCGAGGACGTAGAAATCGTAGTTGGTCTGGTTCATCTACTGAAGAGGAAGAAGATGATTGGATTGCATCAGATTCCGATGATGGATACAGCAACAAACGAAAACGTAAGATCAGATATGAATCGGAGCCAGAAGAAGAAGAAGAGGATGTTGAGAAATCAACAACTGGAAGACCACTTCGAAGAGCTGTCAAATCATCAGACAAGAAAATTGTCATTTCTGATGATGATTCGGATGCGGAAAATTGTGGGCCAGTTCCGAAAAAGAAGTCCAAAAAAGGGTAAGTGATTGAATTGACGTGTTTTGATGGTAATAAATGAGATTATTTCAGAACATCGGATGATGAATTTGAAGTAGAAAATGATAATGAGGGAGAAGAGGACGATGAAGAGGAAGAAGAGATGGATGAAGACAATGATGAAGAGGAAGACGAAGAAGACGATGATTCTGATAAAGATTCAAATGATTCTGAACCAAGAGGAGAGATCAAAAGAATGGCTGGAGCACCACCATCTCAACAATTACCTGTCAGACCAGTCAGACCACAAATATCTGCAAAAAGAGTGAGTTTCAATTTTTTAAATGTAGAAAATCGAAGTACTGATGAGTAGATCAGGAATGTAAATCCCGATTTAAATCAGAATATAATTTTGTATTCAAATTCATCGAATTTGAATTTGAATTTTTTATTTAGAATGTTATAAATTTACCGGAACATAAAAATAGTGAGATCAAAGAGAGAGAAAAAAGGGGTAATTCACATGAAATCGAAAATAAATAGGGTGAATAAAATAACTTCCCAAATTTTTAAAAGACCTAAATCCCGCAAGAGACCTGGTCAGTTGGAGGTTTTGACAAAGAGATAAGAAAGAGTGTGCGAGAATCTGGCCGTGAGGGTTCATGATAAAAGCGATGCGTTCAAACCAATAATCAATATTCTGAACGATTGCACTGAAGAATTCATTTCAATGAGGTGCTATAAAGAGTTCCACTTGGGAACTGTATGCGAGAAAAAGGAATTGTGACATTTTTGAGTTAAAACTAGGCGGGCTGGGTGACGTGGAAGTGTTGAGAAGCTGATGAAGTCAAAAGTTTCTGGCTGGTGAGAAAATCCATTCAGGGCTTTGAAAAGATGAATAATATTGGCTCTAGATCTACGAGTATGGGTTGACACCATGTTGATCTGTTTGAGGCGATCCTCATAAGATTCAAATGGCATATTACAACGATTGAAGACTTTACGAGTGAATTGACGTAATGGATTTTCTAGGTTATTAGATAGATTTTTAGTTAGGAAGGGGTCGTAATTTCAATAGATTCTCCAATTTCTCCAATTTTTAAACTGAAGTTTCATCCAAAATTGAATTTTCAGCCACGCATCAAGCCTGATTCTAAAAAAGAGAAAACTCCTGAATCTGACGAAAATGACGATGAAGAAGATGTTCCGACCAAAAAACCTGATGTCGCTCTACAAAATTCTCTCTGGACTCCTGGAAATCTTCCGGAAAATTTTCAACCAATGATTGCAAATCCATATCTTCGCCCTGCTGAAACAACAAGTCCATCAAAAATTGCTTCAAATACTGCAGAACAAAATGCTTTACCGGTATCAAACCCATATGCTAATGTCAGTCAGAAAAAAGATGACCTGCAAACAAAACCCAGTGGTGCTGCTAACTATTTAGCATTATAATTTATTTATCACTATTATTATAATTATAATTATAATTTTAATATTTATTGGGAAAGTTACCCTCACCCCGATCTTTTAATTAATTTATTGTTATTGATCTCTCAAAACTCGTTACTTTATTTGTGGTATACGGATTGTGTATAATTATTTATTGTCTCAAACTTGTGTTTATTATCAGAAATTAAAATCGAACAAAATAAAATATTCTTTTGAAAAACTACTTGTGAAAAGGAATCAGATCAATATAATAGAGGTATCAAAATGTTGTCTAGAATATTTAAAAGAATAGTTAAGAAAAAATATAAAACAAAACACATTGAAACTTTTAACAACGACGTTCGTTTTCTTCTCTCTCAAATCTTCTGACACGCCCAATAGCTCCTGGTTTGATTTCTTTGAAAAGTTGTTGGATAACATATTTTTGCGCCAACAACACTTTTTTCTCAAATGTTGTTGGGATATTCTTTGGTGCTACCCAAGGTGCAGCAGTGATTTGTTCAATCATCTCTGTACTGTATGTTGCTGGGAAATAGCGGGCATAATAATGATTACTTCTATTGATATATGGGTAAGCTCGAAAAGCTTCTGCGAGCCACTCGGGATACAACGCCACTGCGTATTTATTATCTATGACTTTAAGAATTTCATCCATGGTTTTCACCATATCGTCTCTTTCTCTTGCTAGTTCCTCATATTCATCTGCATCAAGTTGTTTGGAAAACGCACGAGATATTGCTGCCTGCCTATCACGTTTATTACGTTCATCACGCTCATCTTCACTGAAAAATCCTTCTTCTTCTTCTTTTTCTTTTTCTAAAACTGTTGTTTTCTTTTGGAGTTTTTCAGCATCATCAAAGTCGAGTTCCTCTTCTAGTATTAGTAGACATATCAAATCTAAATCTTCTTGTGCCAATAAGAGTCTGTCGGCAAGACCGCATACTTCTTCATCTCCTTCATCTTCACTGTCAAATTCTTCTTCAGATTCAGAATTTTCATCAAAGTCGGTTTCATCGTCAAACTCGGAATTCTCATCGAATTCGGAATTTTCATCAATTTCGGAGCCTGTATCTGATTCTTCTTGATGTTGTGTGCGGAATTGAGTGAAAGCCCTCTGTAAACGTTGATTTTTAGAATTGAAAACTTATTTGATAAAGCAATAGAAATAACTGTCATCTGATCAGTATGGTAAATTTCAATTTTAATTCTCAAAATGCGTTGTTGTGAATTCTAGATGTTATCAATGATACCACTATTTTTGCCGTAAGCAAAACCGAAAAACCTTTCCAAAAGTAACATACCTCTCTTGCTCTCATCTCTTCTTCTATTTTCAGTCTCATCGCTTCTTCTTTTTCAGCTTTCATTTTATTTTCTTGTCTCAAGAAAATAATGAAACGACGAGTTTGCGACTTTGTTGTTACTCTTTTTGCGGCATCTGCCCGACGCTGAAAAAAGTGCAAATAAAGAAGGCGGCGAAATCATTTTTAAATTAAAGTGCACCCCTTAATTAAAATAATGTCAAATGGGATTTGCATGTTTACACTAGGGCAAAACTTTCAAATTAAAAAGAAATATAATGAGAAAATTTAAGAAAACTCTCATGAAAATTTAGATTTTTCTAGTATTAAGAGAGAAATTTCTGAGACCGACAGACAACCTCGTTTTGATACTGTTGAATTATTGCTAATTTTCAAATTTCTGCAAACACAGCTAACCCAAGACGCGCAATTTTCAGCTTTTTGCTTCTTCATAAGGTAGGGAGTTTTTCTTTTTCATTTTTGAAAAAAAAAACATTTTGTTTGAGCAATAAACTTACACGAGATACTTTGGCAATTTTTTTGCGCGGTAAACCCATTTTTGAGAAAGCTGAAAATGAACGATGAATTTGGGAAAAGAAAGAGAGCGATCTAGAATAAAAAAAAATGATATCATTGGTGGTCTTTGTATAAAAGAAAAGGAAAGAGAGAGAACGATTTTTTTTGAAGCTGAAACAAATTTGAATTCGAATCTGGATGTTTCTATTTTTTTCTGAAAAAAAGGTCCGCCCAATTTTTTCGGGACCAAATTGTTTATTGGAACAGAAACATTTTGTTCACGGTTTCATGAACATCAATTAGTTATTAAGTTATTTATGATCGTCAAAAAACATTTGAAACAACACATAGTTTAAAAAATAGTTTAGGAAGAGAAAGAAAGAGCAAATAAACACAATTGTTGATAGAATTTTAAACAGATAAAAGTGACAAGTGAGAAGATGAGATAGATTAGCAAGAAGTTTTTTTTTCATTGTTTCATGCTAGTTAGTTTCATTTTTCTGTGTTTTATCGATATGTGAGAAAAAAAGAAGAAAAAAATATTTGTGAGGGAAATAAATGAGAAAAAAAGACGCGTTGTCAAGAAAAAAGAAGAGAAATTGTAATAAAAAATACAAATAATGAGACAATATTGTGCTGTGAAGTTATGATAAATAATAGCATTTTCGTTGCCATGAGAAATGTGCTATTATGAAAGAATAATTCTAACATAAATGAGCTAGCTAGAAACGGAAAGAGAACGAGATAAATGAAAGAAAAGGCGGAGCTAAGAGGCTGGTGAAACATCTGCTTTTTTTGAAAGGATTTCAAGAAAGGGAGCAAGAACAGGAAGCAAAGAAAAAAAGAAGAAAACTCTCATGAATTTGGAATAGGAAACAAAATTGGAATGTGATAAAATTCGACGAAACACACTCGTGATTATTTCAATATTATTTTGATAAACATTTGTTATCTTTTGAGTGGAACTGTTCACATTGTTGAAAAAAATTTCTTTGGATTGGGATGGGTGTTTAGAGAAATGATTTATATCACAAAAACGAATTGGGTTTGATTTTCACTTTCTTTTTTCAAGTGTTTCTCTTCATAATTCTTGGAAACATCATATTTAATCCAACTGAAATAACACAAATATTTTGAAGTGCATTGTGCATAATTAGAGCTTATTTGTTATATAATCACTGATTAATCTTCATCCTATGAGTAATGTATATATTTTTCTTGAGAAAAGAGGAAAAGCGTAGGCTGAGAATCATGGATTAAATTTATATGTTTCTAATTTTTCGAAACAAACTAGGAAATTCAAAACCAGTTTAAAAAAATGTTTTCCTAAATAAACTTTTGGATGTCCTATGAAACGCTTTGTTGTTTATTGCAACATTTGTTGATTATCTCTCGTATCAAGAATTTTTCCAAAAAAACTTGATAAATAAAATTTTTCGTAGATTATAGAAAATGTCATTCCATAATACCTAAATACAATTAGAACGGGGGAAAAGAACATCTGTGCGTTACGAGAACTAACAGAACTTTGATGAATGGGAAAAAATAACCAGTTCTTTCAGGTTAATATTTTGCATGAAAAAATCAGTTTTTGGGTATCTTGATTCTCGATGCAAACAATTTCAGTTGTACAAAAACCAGAGATCGACATTTCATCAAACATCTCGTTCCGTTTTGATCTATTATTATCTCGTTCAAATAATGATTAAAAAATTTCATGTTTTCAAATCTGGGAAAATACTGGAAATAATATTTTTTTTAAATCGTTTTTGAAATTTCGTAAAACGAAGTTCAGAGAATCTCAAAAAGAGTAAACACTTTCTGCAAAAGCTGCAATTATTTTTTTGAAACAAACGTTTAACAAAAAAAAGCGTTCATATGTTGTATATAACAACTTTCAGAATGAGTCACACATTGCTGATTTTCTTTTCTTCAATCCGTGGCCGAAAAAACCAACAACCAAGTACGTTGGAGCATATTTGATGTTTCAACGCATGGTCCGCGCAGGTGGTCATCTTTTTTCCCCAGTTTTTTAAAGACGAAACAATTTGAAAAAAAGAGGGAGGGGGTGGGGAGATACCCAAAAACTGATTGGAGCAGCCAAAACTTGATTTTCTCGTCCAAGTGAAAGAAAAAACGAAATATTTGGAAAATATTGAAAAGATTTGTATTTTCAAGGTTCAAAGAGAAAACAAGTTGTCGTATTGAAGAAACTATAAAATTCGAGAAATCACAAGAATAGTGAAAAAACATTCAGCAGAATTTTTTACGAAGCGTTTTGTTTTTATATATAGCAACCTTCAGAATGAGTCACATTGAAAGTGTATAGAAAGATTGGGAAAATGAGAAGGAGAATTGTATTTATGAAGTACAATGTTGTGAATAACAAATAATATTTACTTGAATCTACGGTAGTAATATATCGAAACACTACAAGGCAAGAAAAACAACCAGGGGCTGTTATAAAGAAACACGAGTTTGAAATGAAACACAACTGAATGAAAACATTCTCACAAATTCTAAGCAATAAAAGATTGCTAGTTTCTTTTCATGAATGACAAAAGAACATTTTCACAGACAAGTAAAACCCAAAAAATCTAATGAAAAGGATAGATGCCGGAGAACAAAAGACCCTGACTAACCTGAGAATGATTCAGCAAAGTCGCAAACAGAAAAATGTCTTTTTTATCTCCCAATTTTTCGTTTGGCGCCAAAATAACTTTTCGGATTTTAAAAAATAAAGCTGTTTTTCTGTATTTTTATCAACCTTTTCTTAAAACATTTTCAAGATTCGTTACTTTCTGAATTGTTTCGCAATTGTTATCCTAATGACAATTATGCTTTGCAGTTGATTATATTTTATTAAAATGAAAAAAAAAACACAAGAGGTTCGCGGCTTTTCAAACATATGTTAGAACCATGTATGAGTTTCATTATAATATGAGGTTGAAAAAAAATAGTTGCCACAATTTTTGAACATCTGTCAGAGTCATGTTAAAGAATAAAAAACTTTTCATGTCCTTACGTCCAAAAGAATAGTATTTACGTATTTTGAATATATCATGTTATTCCTCTGTTTATTTTTTGTTTTCTTGAACTTTGTAGGAACTTTTTATAATTATACGGTTCACCCGAATTTCATTTATTGATTCTGGAAAGTTTATAATTTTTAATTATTTAGCCCACATTTTTAAGAAATTGAGTTATGTTATTCAACTATCTTGTTCAGCTTAGTCCCATGACCCACCTTTTTTTTCAATATGCAGAAATTTTTTCATTAAATCTGAAAAATAATTTCATTTGAGCCCTATTTATTTATTTTTCTTTATTCCACCAATACCACTCACATTCATAATCGGCCTATCTAGATCGAGTTTCAAAATATCAATGTGAGAAATGAATGCAAAAAATGCATCATTTCGGCTTTTTATTTTCTTCAAATCCTTTTTCATATTATTATTTTTATTTTTTAAAGTTCTTTTTCAATATATATTTATCAAAACAATAATGTTTCTGTTCATAAATTATAAAGGTAAACGGATTGATGATGATGAAGATGATGGGTGTAATTTGAAGCCGACATATGTTCTTATGTTGTTCTGACAAGAGAAAGATGATTGGATCAGGTTACAGTACACTTTTTTAAAAATTTGAACAACGCTTTTTATTCTTATCATATTATCTCTTTGTGAAATAAGTCATTTTACACATTTTTGAAATTTAAGAGTTATGTGAGCCACCATGGTTTTTTAAGAAGTTTTTGGGAATCTTTAATTGTTTCATTCATTTTGCAGGGTGATTATAGAAAATTTCTAGCGGGTTTTACAGAAGTCCCAAGTTTCAAGATTACAATACTTCCAGTTCGGAAACGAGTAATTTCCCTAGAATGCGTCATTTTCACCGTATCAAACCACATTTTTATTTTGAAAATTGTGCAAAGTTGAAATATCAAAGCCGCAGCCTGACACCGAGTTGTCATTATAGATAAAAATCTAAAATCACAAAAAATATCAACAGTTTTATTATTTTTGTTGTAAGAAAATTGATTAAAATTTTTAATAACATTGGAAAAGAATTGCACCTGGTAAAAAGTGTAAATAAAAAATTAATATAATTATTTATTTTTTTCTCTCGATTATTTTTAATTTGAGAAAAAATCATTATTTCAAAAAAAAACTTTGTCTTTCTCACAATTATGTATGCCACTAATGATTGGAAAATATTCTTTTCCATTCATATTTTTTTTTGTTCTATTTAATTTTAAATAACTGTTCAAGTTCATTATCGGAAACAGATAGCATCATCATCTGAAAACAATTTTTGATCATAAAATAATAGTGCAGTCATATTTTTTGCCCCACGAATTTTTTCTTTCTGTCAATAAAACATCTGTCTATGATGATCCGTGTTCGATGATGGTAAATTAGTTTTAATTCAATCGAGATGTGATGTGTGTTTGTGTTTTAATTATTTTTCGCTCATTTTTCTTTTTCTTTTGCACTTTTAAGCTGGATTTTCTATTTTTTGCTTTCATACATCTTATAAGTTAGGCTGAAAACATATGATTCTTGCTGACTTCTGTCGATTATTCATTTGTAGGAAGAGTACAATTATTAGCAGAAAAGAGTGAGGAAAAGAGGGGAAAGTGTTCAAGACAGCATTTTTACTTTTAATCTTCATGATTCAATTTCTCAAAAAATTTTATGAACTTATTGTAGGGATTTAATTTTACCACAGATTCAAAAAGCTATTTTCGCTCACGGTATAGCTGAATAGGATGAAAATATTCATTCTGATCCAACTCAAAATTTCAAAATTTTTTCGAATAGTTTTTTGAACGTATGACTAAAATACTAAATTTTTAAATTTTTGGAATTTATTCAAAAGTGTTTTTAATAATCATTCAGTAAATTCCTACTAGAAAAAAAGTTCTTCAAAAGCTCCATCAGTTTTATTCACAAAATCTAATTTAAATTAGCTTTCCCCTAATGAAACCTTTGAAAGTGTCAAAAATGAATACATTCAGAAGCTCTCCACCCTA